GTACAAGACTCAGGATGTTATAGGAGTCAGAATGAATGAGTAATCTAGAGTAATATATAAGCGATAATGGAGTCAGATAAAACGAGGATAAATATATTAACATTCTAAACCACCTCATACTAAAATTGTGGTCAGATATGAGTTCAGTTTAAAGTAAATCAACATTGTGCACTGGAAAGACCGAACATGCAGTGAACTTTCGTCCACCAGTAGACACCGTCATTGGACTCTGCAGTATAATGTTATTATCATTAGCAGTATTATATATAATGCATATTTATATTTGTTTTAATAAAAACAAGATTTGTCCACCTGTCAGGTTCTGGACTATATGGGGCAGAGGACACATGTTTGGATAGAACTGCGCGATATGCTCAAAACACACCTATAACTCATTAAGAGAATAAGCACAACCCTGTTAGACCATGCGCCAGGGCGCAAACTGTATTTTTTCGCTCTTAGAATGGCAAAAGTGGATTCGAACACGGCCTTAATGCTTTTGCGTGCCCTGTGCTTTAGGCTTTGCACCTACCTGTAGGTCATTAAAATGGAGCCCTCAAACAGTCACTTGCACCAGACACTTTCTTATAATCGCTCCATTTCTAAAAAAAAAAAAAAAAACACAAACGGCGGGGTGGCACAGTAGGTTGCGCTGTCGCATCACAGCAAGAAGGTCACTGGTTCAAGTCTCGGCTGCGTCAGTTGGCATTTCCGTGTGGTTAACATGTTCTTCTCCGGGTGCTCCCACAAGTCCATGCACTGAATTGAATAAACTAAATTGGCCATAGTGTAAGACTGAATGAATGTGTTTTGATGTTTCTCAGTGATGGGTTGCCGCTGGAAGGGCATGTGCTGCATAAAACATGTATAAGTTGGCGGTTCATTCCACTGTGGCAACCTCTGGTTAATAAAAGAACTAATTCGAAAAGAAAATGAATGAAGTGTGCTTCACACAGGTGAGTGGGTTTAACAAACCACCCATTGAAATAATCTTTTCTCTCTATAAAACACTACCGTAAACCTGATTTCACCAAGTAGGACATGTTCTTAGATTACAGTTTTTTCCAATTGTTTAAACACAATTACTTGTACTTCAGACACAATGACTACAACATGTAACTGATGCACCAACCCCCTGAACCAATTCTGCTAAACTACAAGCACAATTCCTGCTTTACACTCAAATTGCAGGTTTAAAACACACTTTTTTTCAAAACCCTACACACAATTCTCTGCATTTTGCACAATCTTCATGCAGAAAATCTTTTGTTTTCACAAGGAACACAATGTCATTCACAATTGTAGTCAGTTGTCCTACTTTGGATACTAACTCATCACATAGGTAAACACGTGTCACACAGAATTGTAATTTAGAAATCAGAGCTCATCTGGATCCCAACTAGTTTACTGCCCACCCATGTTTTTTAGTTGTTTATCTCTTCCTCCATATTCTCCATTCCTCAAACCTATTGAGGATTTTTTTTTTCTGCCTGGAGATGTAAAGTGTATGACCGAAATCCACACACACGGATACCCCTTCTCCAAGCTATAACAGTTGATGCTTTTAGTGGCTGGATTCGCCACGCAATGTGACATTTCCCCCACTGCTTGGACAGAAAAAAACAGAAAAGAGGATGGCGTATAGCTGTAATTATTTTTTTTTTATGTGACTATTGAGTAAATACTTCTGTTGATGGTATATGTAGACCATGATATCTGCAACTTTGTGTTGGTTGTGATAAACAATGTGTACACTGTATTTGTGGGGAAAATACAGTAAAATATATTTGGTATTTGTTTGTTTTGTATAAAAACAATACTCTGAAATATTTTACAATGCACTTCTGTTGGCCTACTATCTGTAGTGAAGTGTAACACTGAACATAAAAAGGCTTACAGAAAGTCATTATGATGAATGGAGAAGAAGTGGTCACGGTGTCACGGTCACGGTTACATTAAGCACATCAGTGTTCAACTGATCTTATAAATGTCTATTCATGTGATGGCTTGTGTGTGTCATTTGAAAACAAAATACCATTTTGAGAAGAAATCACATTGTTTTGAACGTAGAGTTTCATTTTGCAGAAGAATTGAAGAGTTTTGCCGAATGTGTGTGTGTTTTGTGATCTGTGTGTAGAGTTTTGACAATATGAGACATGCTTTCAGAAAATGTGTGTAAACAATTGGAAAAAAACTGTAACATCTATGTCGATCCTGGAACAACATTCCAATCAGCAAATCAGATTAAGGGATACGTTTACAGTTTATGTTAAGTTTAGACTTTCAGGTAGGTTTATGCACTTTCACATGATTGTTATCCAACTATGATTCCCCTCTGATTTTGCAAATAATTTAGTTGTTTTAGTTTAGGGGTAGGGAATAGGTATGGATTACATTTTCAAACAATAATGATGTTCTAGGATCAAACAGATGATAATCCAGGATCGCATCACACTTGGCAAAATCCTGACGTGCAAAACTCTACACCCCTCCTAACTCTAGCACTTAATTCTCTGACCAGAAACAGTTGCTTTGTATATTGAGCACTTCTTGTGAGTTTCCGTTTATTTTACGCGGCAGCCATTTTAATCATGAAAGCGAGGCTGCAGTGGGAAAAAAACTCGGAAGTATAGGACTGTAAACATTGCAACAACATGCCATGGCCTAAAAACCTCCAGCTGTTGCCACCGTTTCAAAATGCAGACATCTTGTAAGCATCACTTTAATATCATTCAATTGAGTTTAATTTAAACAATTAAAAGCAGATTAGACATCAAACTTCACAATCTCTTTAAGAGCATCTTCTTGGGCTTCAGTTCATGGCAGTGGGGACTTCCCTGCTTGCTTCAGCCTATGTAACCAGGGCCCGGTTTTTCAAAAGTAATCCACTAGGATTTTGGATAAGGGATTGGATCAAATCCTGAAAATGGGTTTTTCAAAAGAAAAAACGGATTACATAATCGGATTAGATCACGTAATCCAATCTTGGTTTTGATCCGGATCAAACCTTTAGTTTGGGTTTTTCAGACATTTTTTGTAGGATCTGGATCACTTTGATCCAAAAAACCTGGATTAAACTGATCCCATCAGAAGGGTGGATTTAGCATTGATTTCATGCCCAAAATGGAATGAAAACTTAAAAAAATTATTAAATAAAATTATATTTGGATCATGCAGTATCTTATGAGATATACTATTTATATATAAGGTTTTAATTTTATTTGTTCATCCGTCAGGCTATAGTGATTATTGGCTTTAACGTATTTAGACTTTCAATATAGGCCTACAGCAAAATAGAAAGAGTTTGGCCTCATAAAATAATCCCCCAAACAGCTGTCAAAATTTACCAAAAACAATACATTTTATTCTGTTACTATATTTATATACAATTGTAAAATGAGACTGGGCAGAAGTTCAGCTTCATCTGGCAAAGGAACAACTGACTCTGACCAAACTGCAGCAAACCAAGACCACACTTGAGATCTGCCTCCTAAAGAATACGCTCAGACAAGCTGCTCCCTCCACATCAGATGAGGAAGTCTGACATTATTGTTGAGGTTTCAACATTGTCTTTTTTTATTCAATACATCTATATTTGAAACTTATTATAAATATCCTCAATGTACAGTGTTGTAGATCTCAGATGAGCGGACTGCTGGAAGAGGATGGGGTGGGGATTTTCTTGCTTTTATTATTTATCATTAAAATTATTTTATTATTTATAAAATGTTCTTAGTTTTCATTTCAAATAAAATTGACCCCACACTGGCTATTCTACTTGTTGCTCTTTACATAGGCCTATCTATCCATCTACATTGTGATTGAGCACTGGTAATCCAGATTTAGTGATCCTGAAAAGTTCCTATCCGGATCAGATTGATCCAATCCGATGCTGCTTTGAAAAACTGGCTCAAAAAGTAAGCTGGATTACGTGATCACGGATCGCAAAAACAGGATTACTAAATCCGGATCAATTTTATCCGGATTAAACCTTTTGAAAAACCGGGCCCAGGTGAGCGATAAAACAGTGCAGTCCTCTGTAGCGCACCCTTTTTTGTCAATAATAATCTTGTCCCTGCACTGAAAACGTCCATTTCCCGCTAGCAATTAAGCGCCGCTGAGTGCATTCTTAAACACAGTTGATTTGCCATAGTATTCACCGGTGCTCAACAGAAATGACTGTGATTGGCCCTGAAGGTCATCAGTGTACTATTCTTCACTAAGTGCAAAGACAGATGCACAAACACTGGAGCAGCAAAGATCAGTCGAGTCATCAGCGGATCGATCATCTGTGTTTGCACTCGGTAAACATTGGTGAAGTGTGGTGAACTAATAACCTCCTCGGCCAATCACAGTCATTTCTGTTGAGCACCAGTGAATACTATGGAAAATCAGCGGTGTTGCGTTCAACAGTGCTTACATGGAAAATTGACGGTTTTTATAAATTTCAGTAACGAAATTCAGTATCGTGACAGGTCTAATATGATGAAATGATCAGTTCTTAACTTGAGTTTGATAAATGGCATCTAAAATGTGTGTTTGGGATAGAAAATGTTAGCTAACTAGTGCTATTTCCCTTAACTTAGCTGAAAATGAAGTCCGATATCCCTTTTTATTTTCACTGTTCATTAAGCACGGACCTTCGGGTCACTCTGTGAAATGATTAATTTGTGTCGCTTTCTCTTTGCTGATAAGATATAGAGAGAGGTGCACAACATTCCTGTGTGACTCAGGCAATACTTGATACTCGATTTCGCTTTTTGTAATGGTGGTCACATGATATCAGTATATTGCCACTGCTTGTTGAATCGCTGAGTGTCTCCTCAATTGTAAGTCGGCACAATGTACTGCAAGTCAGCTAAATGTAAATTGAACACACCAATAGCGCTTTTACCCTAACCTAACTCAGAGTTATATTCGTATTGAGTAATAGCAAAAACACTGCTATGGTGACAGATAGACAGACAGACACATAGGAAGCGAGTTGAAGCGCTACGCAATAACTAACCAAATAAAAATTTATTGAAGATAAAAGCTAATGCAGGAAAAAAAAAAATAAGGAAAACAAGAACCCAAATTCAGTTTGTTACACAGAAGACCTGCATGAGAGGCCATGCGTAATGTACAGGCTTCACAGGCCAGAGACAGACAGCAGAAAGTAAACGGGGAAAATGAGCATCAGTGCTTTGACAGGACAGAACATTAACTCCTTCAACGTCATCATCAACACAATTTTACATCAAAGTCTATAAACAACGTTGCCAGTGGCATCTCTTTAATGCACCTTGAAAACAGAAACCAGTAACTTGACATTATTCTATCAGTAAGGCCTTATATTAAGCAAAAAACAAACAAACAAACAAACATAACAATGGCAGTAACCTGAGTGAGAATTAACTTTTGAGCTCAGCGAAAGAATTGTATTCAATGTGCAATCCACCAACCACTTGTTTTCTCGTATCACATACAAATAAGGCTTCACGAACAGGGATAAACAGGTACAAGTTCTCATTGCAATGAAACACATTCTTCTGGCCTCAAATAAAACGGTTATGGACTTCAACATACATCTTAGTCAAAAAGTGAAAACCTGTTGCCTTAAAATGATGTTCAAAACTTGAATTAAATATTACATGAAACAAAAATGGCACATTGACCAATTAAACCACCAGATTCTCCAGTTATATACCATTCTTACCTCTACTAAGAAGTTACTAAATAGGTCAGATTGATTTCTATAGCCCTCAATGGCATGTTACTGGAAAAATGACACTTGAAATGGCACTGTACACTTTGAGGCTTATAATATATACGGATAATCTTACTTGTTTATGGTCTTAAAAAAAGCATCAATAATAATATAACCGAGTTCATAGCATTGGCTCTGTTTTTATTGTTTACAACTGAAATGAATTAATAACACTGACAAATGTGGCTGGAGGCGTGTCGTTCACATTTTGACACTGACCTCTAAACCATGGCACGGCTAATCCTCAGCACAAGTCTAGTTTTGTATTAAATTTGGAGTTAACCTCAAGCGCTGCTTCAAGGTGAACACGATATTGAATTGATTTGCATTATTACGCGGTAACAAAAACGATTCATTGATTTTACTGTGAGTAAACCTGTTGCTATTAAATTCGGTAAATAAACTAGGGGCATAAATATAAAAATTAAGTTAAACCAACTAAGCAATTGCAAGTTACAATTAATTAATTAAATTTTTTTTAAGGAACACTCCACTTGTCCTGAAAATATGCTCATTTTACAACTCCCCTAGAGTTAAACAGTTGAGTTTTAGCATTTTTAAAAGCATTAAAACTGATCTCCGAGTCTGGTGGGAACACTTTTAGCTTAGCTTAGCATAAATCATTAACTTTGATTAGACCATTAGCCTCTCTATAAAAAAAACAACCTACAGAAGCTTTAAATGGGAAAAATATTGAAACTAATTTTTGAGTTAGATGCTAATGGTCTAATCCGATTAAATTATTTATGCTAAGCTAAGCTAAAAGGGCTCCCGAGAAACCCAGAAATCAGGTGAATGGTTTAAAAAAATGGTAAAACAAAAGGGTTTAACTTTAAGGATCTTGCAAATAAAATTTGGATTTTACCTCAAGGGCAGCTTTAAGGTAAACATGATAATAAATTGATTGGTAATACCACACAGTAACAAAAACGGCAGAACTTTTAGCTTAGCATAGCACAAATCATTGAATTAGATTAGATCATTAGCAACTCTCTAAAAAAAATGAACTTACAGAAGAGGTAAAATTCTAGCGAAAAATTTATTAATTTCCAGAATATTGAAAATCTTTTTCGAGTTGGATGCTAATGGTCTAATTCAATTCAATTAATTATGCTAAGCTAAGCTAAAAGTGCTCAGAAGAAACCCAGAAATCAGGGGAATGGTTTAAAAAAATGGGTGTTGTAAATTAATTTTGGTGTTTACCTTCAGCACTGCTTCAAGGTAAACATGATATTGAATTGATTGGCAATACTACACTGTAACAAAAACAATTAATTGATTTTACTGAGAGTAAACCTGTTGCTATTAAATAAAATTAGGTAAATAAACTAGGGGCATAAATAAAAAAAATTAAGGTAAATCAACTACGCAATTCCAAGTTACAATGAACTTACTAATTTTATTTAATGAACACTCCACTTTTCCTGAAAATATGCTCATTTTACAACTCCCCTAGAGTTAAACAGTTGAGTTTTAGCACTTTTAAATCCATTGAATTGATCTCTGAGTGTGACGGGAGTACTTTTAGCTTAGCTTAGTATAAATCATTGAATTAGATTAGACCATTAGCATCTCTTTAAAAAAAACAACCTACAGAAGCTTTAAATGGGAAAAATATCAAAACTCTTTTTTGAGCAAGCTGCTAATGGTCTAATCCAATTCAATTATTTATGCTAAGCTAAGCTAAAAGTGCTCCCCAGCGACCCAGAGAACAGGTGAATGGTTAAAATATGGTAAAGCACAACAGGTTAACTTTAGGAGTGTTGTAAATAAAATTTGGAGTTTACTGTACCTCTATAAAAATGTAATTAAACCAACCTAACAGTTCCAAGTTCGAATGAATTTATTGTATTTTTTTTTTAAAGAACATTCCACTTTATCTGAAAATATGCTTATTTTACAACTCCCCTAGAGTTAAAAAAAAAAAAAAGCATTTTTGAATCCATTCAACTGATCTCTGAGTGTGACGAGAGCACTTTAAGCTTAGCTTAGCATAAATCATTTAAGTGGATTAGACAATTAGCATCTCTCTAGAAAAAAATAACCTAAGGAAAAGTTAAGCTTAAAATAGGAATAATATCGAAACACATTTTTGAGCAAGATGCTAACGGTCTAATCCAATTCAATTATTTATGCTAAGCTAAGCTAAAAGTGCTCCCAAGAGACCCAGAAATCAGGTGAAGGGTTTAAAAAATGGTGAAACAACGATTTAATTTTAAGGGTGTTGTGAATGATTGTTTTTTTCAATTCTATTTTAGGTAAAGTAACTAATCTCTTTTTCACAGTGTAATGACATATAACTTTATTATTATTGTTATCATTATTATTATTATTATTTTTAATAAGTGAGTCTAAAGTTCATCCTCATTCCTCTTAGCAAAAAAAAAATAAAACACTGAAAAGCCTCCCTGGAACGTAACATTTCACTCATTTATGGCCCAAAAAAATTGTAAAAAAATAAAATAAAATAATTGGCATCCATTAGTGGTTATGATAAAAAATATGGACACATGCAGTGCAGGTAAAAGCGAACATACACTCACACACCGCATTTAGGCACGCATCCGTACATAGTTATGAACTCGCGACACAAAACAAAGAACATTTCAGTGCATTGCACAAAAGAAAAACAAAAATGTACAACTGTGACAGAAAAGGATCACTTCACAGTGTTAAATGCCTGGCTCAGGAAAACATTGAGTCAAACTAAGTTCCATCTCGCTCTAGATTTTGAAATGTTGTCATTTTGTACACATTTATATATAGTTGTTATACTTATAAAATCCATTATTGCTAAATAAGCCAAAAAACAAACAACTGAATTAATTTTACAACTGTACAGTACGGTAGAGACTGGAATGTTTTTGAGTATTTCCAAGAGAATTAAGGTAAACTGCAGGTGGATGAGAAATGTGTTGACTGTCAAGGAGCCGCCATGTTTAAAATCGCTGACGGGACGTCCGTTGATTTCCTCCATAACACGCTATTTTTAACAGACCCTTGAGTTGGCAGGTCACCGCTGATGTTACGCGTTCAGCCAGGCTTTAATACAAAGTCCCAAAGCCTTTTGCGAGACACTACGATGCCCAACACGTTTCAAAAAAAAAAAGAAGTCATGTCTGAGGTAAAACAACAGCAAAGAAAAAAGAAAGTGTGCGCACAAAATTGTAAGCCAAGATGGAGATATTTTGAATTCAAAACTAACAAACAAACCCTATAAAGGACAATGAGTACCTTAAAACTTTGAAAGGCGCCATCTATAAAGATGGAGGACAAAAATTGAACTGGTTTGGTCTTAAGTGCATCAAATTTACAACAAAAATTCCCAAGATATCATATCGAAAACACAAAAGAGCTTATTGTGATTGCTGGGGGAGACGTAACACGAAACTTTTCTTTTTGGCAAATTAATTTTAGGTTGACCTACGTGTTAAAGAAAGGCAGCGATTCAATTGTATGCAGCTCTAAAAATTGCGCATTTATAAAACGACAACTATTAAGCGATGTCGACCTGGTTGAGTATTGAAGTCTTTCAGTCTTTAATAGCAGGAATTTGACGAATAAAATAATGCCTCGTTAGTTAACGTAAGGGCCAAACAGGACTACAATCGGGACGTTTATTTCCGATTATCCGTAGTAGTACTTGAAGGAAGACGCACCGAAGACTTTACAGATGAGTGTCGCGTATTTACAACATGGTACAACCGTTGTCATTGTACAAATCTGCACTTTAGCCACGCCTATTTGGTTTACTAGGTTGCTCTAGCTCTAAAAAAAAAACGCACATTACATATTTGAGAATGAATGACGTTCAAATTTCCCTCGGTTTTATAGTTGAAATGTACATTAAGCACTGTTTTATACAAATGGTGTCATTTGATTGTCGAGATTACCATACGAAAATAAAATTCAAAATATAAATATAAAAATATCTGCAAAAGCAAATTTCCGTTGCTCCCCGCGTCTAAAACAAATATTCAGAGTGCATACTGTACATGTGAGTGAAATCATACCAGAACAGAAAATTGAAAATAATAGCGCAAAAAAATAAAATAAAAATAGAGGCTGCAACACATACTGACGAAATGTACAGGAACGGCTGGGTCGACCGCGTTTGAGACTTGAGCAGTGTTGAACGTTCCGTCCTTGCCGTACTTCACACACAGATAAAGGACGATAGTTGGGACCCCCTTTTTTTATCCTTTCGATGATTTTAAATAACATAGACTGCATGGCTATATAGTGAAAATATACATTCCAAATGTTTATATAGAGCTATCTTAAAAATACAAATGTGCAAAACTGTAAACAAATGAGATCCTCAGTGGTGAAAGCCCCTGGACAGGCCATGCCCCTTCACAGCCTAGTGGGCTCCTCCTCACTGTCGCTGCAGTTTCCACAGCAGTCCTGCAGGGGCAGCAGAGACACAGAGTCAGACACTGAGACATCGGCATTCAAAACAGCAGAAAAAAATCATCACCAAGGCTAACGTTACATACTTAAAATATAATCAAGTTTAAACTAATACAATATAATTGTAGCGGTAATGAATTAGCTGTAGCTATAGTAGAGCTTTGGTTTTTATTCTTAGTCCGAATATCTAAAACTTCTTAAGGGTGCTTTCACACTTTGTTCATTTGCGTGGACCGTACCCAAGTTCGATTGTCCCCCCTTACCACCTTACCACCTGGTTTGTGTTCACACTGTCTTTTTTCCTTCTGAACCCCGGTACGCTTGCGTGATTGAGCTGCTGTTTTGTTTACTGCTTTTTGACGGTTACGAAAGCAAAGCGCTGAAATGGAAAGACGTCCGCACATCGTTGTCATTCTGTTTTTACTGAATCTTTTGGTTTTGGACATACAGAAAGCGACTCGCATCCATCTGACGCAAAAATATTAGAAACATTCAGAACATCACACAGTGTCTGCAGAAGCTGTTTTTGGAGAAGACGAGCAGAAATTATCCCTGTGTTTGCCCTGACTCAGTCCCGCTTGTCACCAAGGTACGATACATGACACACACACACACACACACACGAACGACCATTTTGAAAACGATAGTTTGCTGTACAGTTGGCAGTTTACTTCCATTATTTGGCTGTTGCTAGATGACAGTCACGAAAGCAAAGCGCCAAAATGGAAAGACTTCCGCACATCCCAGTCGATTTGCTTTTACTGAATCTTTTATTTTTGGACTTACAGAAAGCGACTCGCGTCCATTTGTCGCAAAATTATTATCAACATTCAGAACATCTCACAGTGCTTGCAGAAGCTGTTTTTTGGGGAGACAAGCAGATATCACTCATTATCGCTGTGTTTGCCGTGGCTCAGTCCCACTTGTCACCAAGGTACGAAACGTGACACACACACACGATGAACGTTTTGAAAATGATAGTTTGTTTTACAGTTGGCGGTTCACTTCTGTTATTTGGTACGATTGCATTTACATCAGAAGTGAACCGTACCAGACTTCGCATGAACCGTACCCCAGACCACCTCTTTCAGGCGGACTCGGGTACGGTTCACGGGTGCGCACACGAGTTCATAAGACAAGTTTAAACAAGCTAAACGTACCGTACTATGACATCAAATGAAGCCGGGTGCGGACCAAAAGTGCTAGTGTGAAAGCACTTTTAATCAAGAAGCATTTTTAGACGAGCAAAAAATATAGTCTTATTTTCAGAAATAACATGTCAAAAGTTTTTCCTTAAAACAAGAAAAATAATGTGCCAATAGGGTACGCAAAATAATATTTCAAAGTGAAATCAACTAGCTTAATCAAAAAAGTAAGAAAAGCATTTAAGTTTTTTTTTTTTCAAGAATTGTACTACAAAAAAGTCTTATGAACAACGAGGTAATAAATAACGGGATGCGATCGGTAGGGAAACCAGCATGAGTGGGACTAATAAAACAAAAAAAATTTTCACCCGCAAACCAGGCTGTAGTTCTGGGTCTGTATGTGAAGGCTTCTGAGTCCGGACCCGGCCACAGTCCAACTATTAGTGCTCTATAGCAGTGGTCCCCAACCTTTTTATCACCGTGGACAGAGCAACGCTTCACAATTTTGCTACAAACTGGGGGTTGATGGTTCATAGGTTTGCTGGGTGATCATCCACTGCTTTCTCAGAGGATGGCAAGCTGACAAAACACTGCGGCAGCTCTGATACAAGTTTAATTTCTGAAGAAAATGACAAAGCACTGTTTAGGTGTTCTGTGTTTGTCTGAGATAATTCGGTCAGTTTCTGTCATGTGACTCGCGGTGCGCTCAGCTCCGTTGGCAATAATAAACTTGCGCAAACTCTAAAAGAGACGTGATATGCGAACGGCCCCTAAAAGGCTGCTATCATTTGCAATCTTCAGCAGTTGATCTTCTTGCACAGACATGGTGGATTCACCTGACTTGTTGACAAATAAGTTGCAGATTTATTCCTTGGCATTTCAAGGGTCCTTTACTGAACCTTTTTTCTTTAGCAAAGAATCTTTCCAAAGGTACTCATTTTGCTGCTTACGGGTTAAATTTGGGCACTCAAGTGACCAAGAGGTAAGCAAGAGAATACGGTCATTTTTCAAAATAAAAGATTTTTGAAAAATAAAATGACGTTCAGACTCTGATAATAAATAAAACGGAAAAAATTAATGATTTCTTTTGCAGCCTGGTACCAATTAATACACAGACCAGTACTGTTCTGCGGCCCGGTGGTTGAGGACCACTACTGTTTAATATGTAATTATGCAATTTCAGATGCAGCCTACATTAAGTCAGGCTTAAAAGAAATGTAAAAAATTGGCTAAAACTTTCAGTATTTTTTAAAAATTCATTCTCTACCTGAAAAACAGCACTTTAAAACTGCAAGACCCACCTTGAACTTGTAAGCATATACGTACGCATAATTATTAGGGGTTGCATGATATGGGAAAAAAATCTTACATTGAGATATTCAGTTTTTCTGCGATACAAATTGAAATACAAATACAATTTCACCAGATGACTTGAATAGCTCCATTTAAAAATAATTCATTAATTTTAAATATTTAAATCGATTAGGATGTTGTAGTATTATTATGCATTACATGTAAATAAAATAAATTAGAACCATGTATAAATTCAACAGAACAAAGATAAAAGTTAAATAAAGAGTGCGATATAGTTTTCTGGGCAGTCTAACAGTGTTCAGGTACACAAAATCTAGTGTAAAATTACATTTTCATCAATGTATCAATCGTTAAAAAAATCAGTTTTTATTTATTTAGTTAGTTGCAAACTGTACTATTTTTTGTGTCTAAATGATTTCAACTCCTGAAATTCTCACACAGTCAAAAGACTTTCGTTGTATAATTGTTAAAATTTGCAATGACTCCACAAACTTCACATGTTCTAAATTGTGTGTCTGATCCACTATAATCCCAACTCAACAATGCACATCCTGCGATGTGACTATTGTAGATGTACAAATATCAATGCTAAAATATATTGTGTGGCCCTCATGATTAATATCCAATCAAATGCTCTGTACAATGAGAATGCCGCTAACTTAAATATGACCTGCCACAGCTTAACATTAACAAATAGCAATAGTTTGTCAGTGTGTCTTAATTTTAATTCTAATGCAAAAGGGTATATGCAGAAGGACTTTTATTTTTCAGTAACCTGAGTATGAATGAATGAAAAAAAAAACAAAATCCGAGCTTAAAGTTGGTATGAATCAGAAGTTGCTGAGACTTTTATTTTAGTAAAAAGATTTTGCCGATTTTGCCGTTACAAAATCAGTGTGTTTAGGGTCTGTTTTCTTTAAAAATCAATGACCTTCACTGCCTGATTGATATACGATATACAATGGGTCTCAGAATGTACAATTAAATTACATTTCCCAAGCTGTGTCTTTAAAATATGAACATTTATTTTACCACAGTGGTTTCATAGGAGTTTCTGCGCTAGCCTGCTAATCCTGTCCCACTTTATATAAGTGTCCTTAACTACTATGTACTTAAATCAAAAAATAAATATAATGTACTTACTGTGTTTATAATGTATTTGAGAACACTTGTGGTGCTTTTGAGTTGGGATAGAGGTTGGGTTATGGACAGGTTTGGTGGCATAGGTAGGTTTAAGGGTGGGTTAAGGTGTAAGGGATGGTCAACAGTGTATTTACAAATGTAATTACAAAAGTTAATTACAGATGTAATTACATACATTTATTTAATCAAGCATAAGTACACAGTAAATACATGTATTTACACAATAAATACATTGTAACAAACTACTAACCCCTGTGTAAGTACATATTAGTTAAGGCCACTTAATATAAAGTGGGACCGCTAATCCTGACAGGTGTGTACATTTAAACAGTTTTATATCTCATTTCACACTAACTAAATGAATGCTTAAGTCTATTTAACTGATTATATTTTAATTATATCACAACCTTGATGCTGTAAAAGGAACAGTATCAGTCACATTAACTGTTCACCGGAACTTTATCGGTATGGGAAAAAACACTATCAATGCAAATACCCCATTTAAAAAATGTTGGCCTATCCCAAACTTCTCAAGTCAACATGAAATACACCTAAATACACATGAAGTACACCGATACTAAAAGTGATAATTGAAAAATTGCATGTATTTCTTGAGGTTTATACCATTTCTATGCGAAATGCACTATTACAGCACTATTACCTTAATTATATTACATATCTAAAAACAAATACTCCTCCACCGAGTTGCAACTAAAACGTTCCAAAAGGTTAAATAACGCTGAGAGCAAAGTCAACAACCTTTACAGAGTTACACATTTGTAACCGGAGTATATTACCTGAATCATTTCATGTTCCTGACTAATTATCCAGCAGGTAGACTGGGAACACAACCTGCATGCTGATATTTTATTACACCACAAGAATCAACCACAAATCCGTATATCCGATTTCAGTATCAAACATCAAACAAAAAAGGTTTAGACACACATTGGCTGAGAACCTCATTCACTAATGGAAGAAAGAATAATCCATTTAAATAATAGAAGAAATTGCAACAGTCTCACCTGACGGCCGAAGAGTCTCTGCAGTAAGCCCTGTTTGGGTGGGGGTGAAGGTTGACCCCTCCAGTCCAGGTCAGGAGGCACAGTGCCGTCCAAATTCAAGATGTTGAGTTCTTTAAAACACTCTGTCTCTATCATCTGGATGGAGAAATAACATGAAAGCTCAGAATTCAAGTCATAACAATAAAATTGGGAAAACTTAAGTTCCTTAAGTTGACTGAATGGCAGCATGGTGGCGCAGTGGGTAGCACAATCGCCTTTCAGCAAAAAGGTCACTGGTTCAAGCCTCGGCTGGGTCAGTTGGCATTTCTATGTGGAGCTTGCATGCTCTCTCTGTGTTCGCATGGGTTTCCCCCAAAGACAAATCGAAAGACATGCGGTATAGGTGAATTGGGTAAGCTAAATTGTCCGTAGTGTATGAGTGTGATTGAGTGTGTATGGGTGTTTCCCAGGAATGGGTTGCAGCTGGAAAGGCATCCGCTGTATAAAACACGTGCTGGATAATTTGGTGGTTCATTCCACTGTGGCGACACCAGATTAATAAAGGGACTAAGCCGAAAAGAAAATCAATGAATGAATTTAAAACAGTGCAGCCCCTACTACACATCGATTTAATTTTGTTTTGTTCTGTTTAACCTACAAAAGCACCATTTTGCAAAGCCAGTGACATCATGCTCACATGAATTTTATTAAGCTAATGTCATAATGACAGCATGGCATAGATGTCCTGTTTATTCTCCAGGGAAAATATCACAGTGTTTTTTGTCCATTGAATAAAGTCTGTTTGTACACATTATCAAAGTCAACGCTAATTTCCTCTTTACTGCACGCCAGTCATAAACCGGCAATCAAAGGTCCAGATTAAACATCTATTGAGGTTATTCTGGGTATGTGACCTGACCTCATTTTGCCATGGGATGGGAACACTTCCAGTGGATACTTTGCTGTAGAAGGAGTCGTCTTTGGGCTCCAGCTCCACACCCTTCACTGTGGAGAACTGCTCAATGTCCAACACATCCTTACAGTAGATAGCCTGAGGCTGAAAGACACACAATAACAGATAAAACTGTGAAATAAGTACATCTTAATTCCTGAGTTTGCATATAAGAACATGTGCCAAAGTCCCTTTAGAAAGGCTAGGCAACAGAAGGTTGTATGTTTATGCATTCCTACCCCGTTTCCTCCAGGAATTATTCATACTTGGAGACTGCAACATACACAGCACTCACTTTTGGGGATTTACACCTACCTAACTTTAAATAGCGACAGTTCTTGACTCTAGTAAGCTACAAACACAAATTAGGTATCATTGGAAATTAGACACTTTGAGCTTTACTATGGTAAAAGGGGAAGTTACATGCTCAAAAATAAAAAAAGTTATACATTATGAAATCATGAGGGAAAAAAATTGTATTGTGTTCAATATTATTATTTTCATTTACAAACAGAGAAGAACATTAATGTAATGTCCAAGAAAATGTCCTGACTTGAAAGCCAGGTGTTTCATGAGTTTATATTTCGAATTTGATGAAGATGGCATGCAAAATGAGATTTCTGTAAAAAGTTTTTTGAGACTATATCGGTGTCCTGTTTTTCCTCACCATCAGAGGCACTTTCCCAAAATGTACCTTCTCAAACTAAAACATTAACAGTTGTTGAATATTTGGGTCTACATTCACAGTTTTATGTATTTTTGGAAAGAAGACATTTTTTTACTATGCAAATTTAATCTGCATATCATTTCCATATGTACAGTATATTTCAAATGCTTGTGATATGTGATATAGAACTCCAAAAAAAAAAGAGTTTTGGTCCCAATTTATATTAAGTGTCCTTAACTACTATGTACTTGCATCAAAAAATAAATACATCGTACTTACTGTGTTCATAATGTATTTGAGAACACTTGTGGTGCTTGTGAGTTGGGATAGGGGTTGGGTTATGGACAGGTCTGGTGATATGGGTAGGCTTAAGGGTGGGTTAAGGTGTAAGGTATGGTCAACAGTGTCTATACAAATGTAATTACAGAAGTTAATTATAGATGTATTTACATACAGGTATTTAATCAAGCATATTTACACAGTAAATACATGTATTTACACAATTAATACATTGTAACTAATTATTAATTTCTGTGTAAGTACTTATTAGTTAAGGACACTTAATATAAAGTGGGACCAGAGATTTTTTTTTTTTAAATATACAAGTTATGCCACCGCATTACATTTTTAACACCGGTCAGAATGCTTTTATCGTTTTAGAATAATAAAACATCTCCATTTGTATTCAGCATAAAATTTGCTAGATACATCTTATAAAAGTAAAAAAGTTAACACTTTAGTTTAGGTCTCAATTCATGGTATTAACAAACCATTAAAGATGCTCTATAATTAAAATCTGGGTATACCGAAGCATAGTAGAATAATTAGAGCTCAATATATAGAAATAGACATACTGTGAGCCTCAGAAACCATTGTTATCATGTAAATTCCACGAGTGCAAAACCCTGGAGGACAACAGGCCAATCACAGGACAAGAGACTCACGGGCAATGCCCTCCGCATTTGCATGTACGACTACTTTAGGTCGTTCATCCAGACCTGACATCATCAAGAGAACTTAGACTTAACAACGTTTTCAAGTGAGAAAACAATAATAGTTTTCCTCTATTAGTTATTTTAAAGCTTATTTTTTCACTTACTAAGTATGTTAATTCTCCAGGGAAAATATCACAGTGTTTTTGTTCATTGAATAAAGTCTGTTTATACACATTATCAGAGTCAATGCTTTTTTTTTACTTGCAAAGTATGTGGGACTTTTATTTTGAAAACGCAACTGCAAGATTGTTTACTAGGGATGTAACGGTATTGTAAATACCGTCATACCGCAATATAATTTTTTTCTGATATTACCGAAGTCGCATGACTCGGTAAAAATATAGGTCTTCTGAGAAAATTTGCTCAGGCGAATGAAGCGAACGGGAGGTAGCGAAAACTACAATTCCCATCAGCCCATGCTTGACCATCATCCCTTGCGGTCTGTTGTCGCTACAGATCCAGTAATGCGGAAATGGAGTGTGCTGCTAGAAGCGGGGATGAAAAGAGCTGGAAAACTCTAAGGCCCCGTTTACACGGGGCCTTAGACGCATAAGTTTTGCTACGGTTACGCCATCTGTCCACACTACGCCGGAGTTCTCGAGCGCCGAAAACGGAGCGTTTCGAAAACGCTGGAGAGGCCGTTTTCATTCTGAAACGCTGCTGCTCCGTCTCAGTGTGGATGATGGAAAACGGAGACATCTGAAAACGGAGGTGGGGCTGCAGACGTTCGCCTCTCTGATTGGGGCTTTTCCTGAATATTAAGTAGCCTAACACGCACAGTTCAGTCCTGCATTCTCTCCGTGTAATTTTAGACTTCGCAAGTTTGATCAAGGCTGCAGTCTCTTCTTCTCAGTTTGATATGGAAAAGCAGACTATACCGAGGACACGGGTAAATCTTCAAAGGGAACAGTGTACTTTATAACTTCATTCACATCACCCTAGCTTCGTTGTTTCACTTTCTCAACAATAAAATGTAAACATGATTTAAGGAACTGCCTATTTTCATTTTAATATTAGCAACTTAGACAGCAGAAATGTTGAGGCGTCGTGCTGCATAAGATGAGCGTCATCTTCACTGTGTGGATATTTATAACAAAACGGAGCCGATAACAACTGCCTCCTTTCAATTTCAGTGAAAATACGAAACACAGCCTCTCTTTTGCTGAGTATCAGTTTTAAGAATCGATAATGGCCATTTTAAATGTATAACATACAATAAGTTTATACATTATAGGAAATAAAGGCAAGCGATCAGTCAATATACAGAATGTACGTGGTTACATTAATCAATAACTTATCTTTGCGCTCAGCCAAAACACGTTAACTGAGAACAAGTAATAGATTCCAATGCCTAAAGTCAGGGAATATGTCGTTAGATAAAGACAACAAGATAAATGAAATATCCCGTTTAATAAATATAGTGAGATTAGATCCAGCGGGAGATGCTTGATGAGCAGTCCGACAAGCAGAGCTCTCATCTGGGTAGATGGGCTGCAGCACTTGCCCGAGAGCGTCTGTGTGGTCACTTGATGTGCGTTTTCAGCGTTTTGGTGTGGACGGAGAGCAGTTCAGAAACGCTGGGTAAAACGCGAGTGTGGACGCGGATCGTTTTCATTCTAAAACGCGGTTTTAAAACTAAAACGTACTAGTGTAAACGGGGGCCTAAAGCGGGTGTTGTCGCCGCACGCGTACTGAATAGCGGTGTTGTCGCGCGCGTACTGAATAGCAGTGTTGTCACGCGAGTTGTTATCAGCTGTGTTGTCGCGCGCGTACTGAATAGCGGTGTTGTCAGCACACTGTTCAGATTGATGCAGACATGAGACCTCTATCTTACTCATGGTTTGTCCTCTCAAGTGGGGGAAAGACAATGCACAACGTTACCCACTGCTGTCAACCTGGGCCAAGTCATATCTCTCTTGTCCCAGAAACCTCAGTCCCAAATGAGAGGGTTTTTTTCTGTTGCAGGGGACATTGTAAATGCCCAGAGATACCAGCTTTTACTAGATTATATTTATATGATAATTTTCCTTTAAACCCATCTCTATCTAAGTGAGTGAGTGATTAAATGTTTAATGTGATGAGTTTTCAACAATACTAAATTGAAACTTTATTTTTTTTACATGGTTTAATATTTTTTGTTATTAAAATCGAAGTTCCTGTTTCAAAGCTTATAGATAGATGGCTAATTTGTATGTCATTGACACTTTTGGCACGTTTTTGGAGTATTTTCATAAGTTTTGTTTTTTCCTGTAAATGATTCAATAAATACCGTACCGTGACATTCATACCGAGGTATTACCGTACCGTGAAATTCTGATACCGTTACATCCCTATTGTTTACTATATGTTACTGGGCAACGACTGCATGAGACATGTGCTTCAGGATGCAAAATGCAAGATTTACATACTACAAATTTATTCCGCACTTGTTAGTAAGGTAGAAGTTAGGTTAGGTTTTGGGTAGGATTAGGGATGCAGAACAAGATCAACTACTAATGAACAGTTAAGATTTCAATAACAGCCATGTAATGAGCCAGTAGTTAATAGCATGATTGTAACCTAAACTAAAGAAGAAAAAAAAAATACAGTAAATGTCTTCTTTAGTGTTTCAAGAAAAGAAAAAAAAAAACATTTGAATTGGTTTAGAATAATAAATATGACAAAAAACACAAGTCATTTTCTGAATTCTGAAATATTTCATTAAAAGATTGAAACATCACTAAAATAAAGAATAGTAGTTCTAATGAATCTTCACAATAAAATTAGCTCCAATAAGTGGCGGTCTTAGAAAACACTTACATCTGGTATAAAGGGGGCTTCGAGCATTCCTGCTGCAAGCCTCTTGAAGTTGATGGAACGGAAAATAAGGTGGGCTTTCACTTCTGAGGCCCCACCTCCCTGACAGCCAAGCCTCTCACTGGGGTCTTTGGCTAGCAGCTAAGCAGAAAAAAAAACACAAACAAACTGCATGTTAGAATTATTTATAAAGCATCATGTGACTATTGAAAATTCAGCTTTGAATTGCAGGAATAAATGAATTAGGATTATATTAGAAAATGTATTCACATAGAAAACAATCCCTCAATTTTCAATTTCAATTCAAATAATCAATTTAAATAATAGATCAAAATGTTATTATAATTATCACATTTTTATTCAAACAAATCCAGTCCTGATGAGCAGAAGAGACTACTTTCAAAGACATTATTCCCAAACTAATAGTGTAATCAACCAATATGGTAACGTTCCAGATTTTTTAAATTAAACACAGATGTAGAGCTGCACGATTCTGGCTAAATTAAGAATCACAATTTATTTTCGAATAAAATCAAGATCACGATTTTCTCACGATTCTATAGATGTAAAATAAAGGTTAATATGAGTATTATGAGTAGGCCCACACGGAATCTGCGCACGCAGAATTCTGCAGAGATTCCGCAGAATTCCGCAGATTTCTGGAGATTTTTAGCCCATTATTAATTCTATTTATTTACTTAAGTAAATGTCTAAATATGAATTTATTCAGTTTTTATTCAGTAATTTATTACTTTTTATTTAGTATATTAAGGTTTTAGTTATGATACTCCGCTGGATACTCCCAAAATAATTCCGCAGAAATCCGCAGATTTTTACCAAAATTCTCCGCAGAAATAGCAAAAAACATCCGCAGATTCCGTCTGGCCCTGATTATGAGCTATTATTATTGTTAATTTTCAAACATATTGCCAAACAACATGAATAATATTAGGCCTATGTGTAGGTCTACTGTTAGTTAAAATGCTACATTGAGTATAGACTTGGAACGGTGGACTTGAACAGGCTTTAAATTCGTCCTTATTTTTAATTCACAATATAATATTATTTACAGTAATAACTCAAAGTATATATTATGTTACCCTCTTTGAGTTGGAAAAAGCAGTTAAATGAGAAAATGTTTATGATTTTTCATTAACACACTCACATAAAGAAGTTAACAGTGTTTTGAGAGTTAACTGTGTTTTTAATACAGTTTTGGAGCATCTTGTAATGTAAAAATAAGCCATTTTTTATAGATTCTTAATAAGCATAGTTTATTATTAGGCTATTCATAGGGTATATTTGTAAATACAGCTGATGTAAAAGCTTTTTTAACGTTTAAGGTTTATTTAGGCTAGAAAAACATACAGTATTCCTCGTAACCGAATGCGTGTGTTTATTTAACTATTAATGTTACACTAATTAAGGTGATTGACTGCTGGCATAACAATGTGGATGATAGACGTTAGTAGCTAGGAAGTCAAAAACTTCTCATTACTTTTTACTGCAGTTAATGCACTTTTGAAAGATACTTTCACTTAGCCAGATTGCTTGCTTTTCCGCTAATACAAGAAAACAACTTGTTGCAACAGATGTTGTCCACACTGGAAATACAACCTGTTTGGTTTACTCCGCAAGCTTAAGGGTTGTGTGCGTGTGAGTCTGTGCCGCGAGCTATGTGTGTGCCTCCGCTGAGTGTGAGCGCACAGCTAAGAACTGTGAAGGCTTTTATACTTGACACTCTCGCAGGAAACAAGAGAATTTTCTTATGTGAGATTGCCAACTGTGCAGACGAATATCAAATATCGCAAACTAGAAAAGCTTGGTCAGTTAAATTATGCTACTGTTTTTAATGTTTATTCAGCAATAATTCTCCAGTACCAATAGCAGAACCGGTAACGTCAGAGCTTATCGATACTTTTACAATTTAGCACCTATACCGATAAAGTACTGAGTTTCGGTACCCATCCCTAGTCACCATGCTGTATCTTGCTGCCCGAAGTGGTGTTAGAGAGGCCAGCAGGGGGCGCTCAACCTGCGGTCTGTGTGGGTCCCACAAAGTAACACCCCAGTATATTAATGAGCACTCTATACTACTCAGTAGGGTTGTAACAATATACCGGTATGACGGTTTACCACGATTTGAACGTGCACGATTATCATACCATGAACAATTGCATATCAACGGTTTTAACCCTTAAAGACCGAGACAGCCGCCCGCGGCTAAAAATAAGTATTGCTCTTAAATGTTTAATAACTTTTGATCCGCTGATCCGATTCATACAATTCAAAGATTGGCATAAAGAAGAGAATCTCAGCTTTCCAGTGCCGTATCACATAACATTCGCGGACTTTCAGAGGCTCCGGAATCAGTGCGGTTACGTCATCAACATTTGACAACGCTGATTTGACAAAGAAACGCTCGTCACTGTGTCTCCGGACAAATCAGACATGATACATTGATGCATTGTCCCTCCTCCATGCCCAGATTGGTTCAAACTCGCTATATCACAACCAATAAGCATAGGTTTCGCTTTTGTTTGTGGACCAAGCTTTTTGAACAACACGGAATGAGAGAAAGGCATACATTTATGCGCAGCTAAATAAAACGCAAAAAAAAAAAAGTTTTGCATAAAATAATTCTCATACTAAGTACTTTTGCATGCACAGCAGCACAGAAACATGACAAAACAGTGACACAGCAAAGACGAACTGCTGCTCGTGCTGTTTTCAAAAGACGCAAATGAAGATGCAGCTGTTTGTCTGCATTGCATACAACCACATCCAAATCCATGCTGGCACATAGAACCTAAGGATGTTCCATATTGAATCTAGTTTCGTTATGTAACTATTTATAGTATAGTAAATATTTATATCTATTTTTTACTGAGGATTTGCACCATGTTTATTTGGACTTTATTTGGACTTTGACACATTATTTATTATTTTCTTATTTTTTTATTTGTTCATTGTAAGTGGTGTTGTTTATAGTAACTAAAAATATATTATTTGGAAAAAGTCAAATTTGCTTCACTGTTCTATTATTTTGTAACATTTGTAACATACCGTATACCGCGAAACCGTCAAACCGTGGTATTGTTTTAGACGATTATCATACCGTGAAAAACTCATACCGTTACAACCCTACTACTCAGTGAGCTCCGGTCTTTCGAATGAGACTATAAACCCAGGTCATGACTCTCTGTGGTCATTAAAAAATCCCAGGATGTTTTTCCGAAAAGGAGTATGGGTTTAAACCCAGGATTCTGGCCAAATTTGCCCACTGGTCCCTGTCCATCATGACCCCCTAACCATCCCCATATCATAATTAATAAACGGAAAGTAAAATGACAAACAAAAACCCTTCATATTCCATGACCTTTGACTACTTATACTATATTCTGTCTATCTATTACAAAAATGTCAAATTCCCTGACTCAATTTCAATGTCTTGAATAAACCTTTTAAATATTCATGATTTTCCAGAAATTCCATGACCCATGTGAACCCTGTTCAACAGAAGAAACCCCCCCAAAACGAGTCGAAGATCAGCAAATGATTGTAGCAATGTCAGCATTGGCTGAAACTATCCTTTTAACCGACCACTAACCATTTTACAGAGTGATTTGGCATCCTCTGAGAACTTGCTGGAATATTCCTCCTCCACCTCTTTGACCAGCCGCTCCACTTCCTCCCGTTTGATTTTCTTCTTGCGCTGCTGAAAGGGTGACTGACCCTCGATCATCTCATAAAGGAGACAGCCGAGAGCCCACCAGTCTGGACTGAATGTGTATCGCTCGTTTTTCACCACCTCTGGGGCTGCGCCCACACACACACACACACACAAACATATGCAAGTTACATCAAACACTCCAGTTGATACCGATATAGTGGAATGGTTCATAAATGCCAGTACATACCCATGTATCCCACAGTGCCCACCCGGCCTTTGATTGTCTGACCTTCTGGTACATGCACAGCCAAGCCCAGGTCTGATATACGTATATGACCTGAGGACAAACATCAAATCACAGCAATTAAAAAAAAAACATATAATAAACTTTAGATATATAGAAACATAAACAAATTTTTTAATACGCATATTCAAATCGCAGATGTTGGATCTGGCATTTGGATTCATTAATAAGGTCCTTTTATTATGAGAGTTTCAACATGCTCATGAAAACAAGCTCATAACCATAAATATTTACATTATGTGGATTATTGTAATGATTTAAAATAACTATGTTCTGCTTTACAGTGTTTACAACTCTCAAATGGTCACCCACTTAAGATAATCAGGGCTGCGTCCGGTCAGTACCTGGATGGGAGACCAAATGATGAAGTTAGGTTGCTGCCGGTAGTGGTGCTAGTGAGGATAGCAGGGGGCACGTAACCTGTGGTCTGTGTGGGTCCTAACACCCCAGTATTTTAATGGGGTCTTATCCGTCTTTCATATGAGACTATAAACCGAAGTCATGACTCTCTGTGGTCATTACAAAATCCCAGGATGTCCTTCGAAAAAGAGTATGGGGTTTAACCCAAGCATTAACCTTCCGCTCTCTCTCGTGAAGCAAATACCGAAGAAACTGAAACTGCAATTCATCGAAATTCCGCAAGTCCTGGCTCCATAATAGAGCACATTTCTATTGAGACCATTTTTAAAATGGCCAACGTTACAGCAGAAACTAGGATGTTTACAGCCAGGTACAAAGAAAGATTTCGGGCCCTATCATACACCCGGCGCAGTGTGGCGCAAGGCGTGACGCAGTAGTCTTTTTTGATAGTTTAAGCTTGGCGCAAGAGTCGTTTTAAGGCGTTGCGCTACGCTGTTTAAATAGCAAATGCATTAGCGCTCATTTTTGCGCTCATAGGCGTTCTGGTCTAAAAAGGAAGGCGTTCTGAGGTGGACCGCTGGCGCGTTGCTATTTTGAGAAACTATAATAGATTTTTCATTAGACCAAAACAAACCCGATCTAAACTCCAGCGCAGAGTTGCGCCTCGCTTACACACTGCTTAATACGCACAAGAGAGGAATAGGCAAATATCTTTACATATGAAAAAAAATTAAATATTAAGGATATATATAGGATATAATAAGAATAGATATAGGATATAAATATGAAGGATTAAAATATTACAAAACATACTATTTTCTAGCCTACATAAATATGAAAAATCACTGCTTTTATGTCTTCTTCATCTCGGGAGGCTTTTTCAGTTCATTTATAATAATTTGCTTTTGTATAATGTTATTATTATTAGCAGTATTATTTATTATATGCATATTTATATTTGTTTTATTAAAAACAAGCTTAGATTTGCCCACCTGTCAGGTTTTGGACCATATGGGGCAAAGCATGTGTTTTAGGATATAACTCAGGTTTTTGAGCACATTTTGCTATTATTGTTCATTTATTCGTTTACTGGAAATTAAAACTGAATTTAGAAATAGTTTTGAAACGAATATTTGCGCTTAACAAACAAAAGTATTTATTTATAGACTAATTGATGTCTGTGCGTAAAGGTTTCCCTATCCAAGAGCGAAAGTGATCCATTATCTCTCAGTCTCACGCAGTAGATGCTCTGTTTAACTGTTTTCTGTTAAAAAAACTGTTAACTGTTTGCTTGTGAAATGCTAATTTTTTCCACTTAGACTTACTTTGCGTCCTGTAAATAGTAAATGCGCTCTTGGCGCGACGCAGCTGACTCTTAAAGGGAATGGGAGATGAGACTGTAATTGGTTTATTCTTAAAACACACCTATAACTCATTAAGAAAATAAACTCAACCCTTTTAGACCATGCACCGAAGCGCAAGGCAGATTTCCCGTCCTTAAATTAGCAAAAACGCGTCCTGACATGCCCTGAAAGCATTTGCGCCCTGCATTTTGCGCATTGACCGTCAAAATAGAGCCCTTCAGTTCACATAGCTAATATATTTTTTTATTATTCATCCCTTTTCTTTATATTAGGTTGTATTAAGTCTGCATAATTAAGGGCATGGCCACTTGAGTAACCGCTAGGTCTCGCTGGTCACCATCACCTCAGCTGATTCCGCTGAACTCAGCATATACATTGTATTTTTGTTTTGTTTCATGCGGCTTTACACAGTCAGTTGCTTTTTGGAATTATTTCCTACAATTATCAGATGAAATGGCATGCTGTGTGCACTTATTTGTGCTCACAAACCCTTCACGTGGCCTCCATTTCCCAGGTGAGTGAAATTATACACCATCTCTATAAATGTATTGGTTTCATTTAAGATCATTTATGATTTATAATTTTTTTCAGACCTGTAAAGCACTCAAACCTGACAGATTGATTAGCTGTGGGCTATAGAAAGTCAAAAAACTTTATTGGTATAGTGTACAACCAAGCACACGTGGTCAGAACACAAACGAGTCGCAGGTAATGATGTATTAAGCAGAAAAGCCTGTCGAAGCAAAATGCTAGCAGACATCTGTAGATCCGCTTCTTTGCCCTTGTTTGGTATCCCCCGGTTGGTGCAATGAGTAGGCCCACACGGAATCATTTTCCGCAGAATTCCGCAGATTTCTGCAGATTTTTTCCCTATCATTAATTCTGTTTATTTACTTGAGTAAATGTGTAAATCTGAATTTATTCAGTTTTTATTCAGTAATTTATTACTTTTTATTTAATATATTAAGGTCTAAGTTATGATACTTCGATGGATACTCCCAAAATAATTCAGCAGAAATCCGCAGATTTTTACCAAAATTCTGCGCAGAAATAGCAAAAAATGTCAGCAGATTCCGTCTGGCCCTAGCAATGAGGCACGAACAAAATGGCGTCATTTGGCCACGCCTACTGGTAGCTTCTTTTGGGTTCTTTAGAAACCTATCGGTGACGTCACGGATACTATGTCCATATCTTTTACAGTCTATGGTTTAACCAGAGGATTCTGGCTAAATTTGCCCACCAGCCTCTGTCCATCATGGCCTTCTAACCATCCACATATCATAATTGGCTTCATCACTCTGTCTCCTCTCCATATTGTGTGGTCTGGCGCAATATGGATGCAATGTTGTCATCCAGGTGGATGCTGCACACTGGTGGTGGATAAAGGAGATTTCCCCCCAAAAATGTGTAAAGTGCTTTGAGTGTCAGGAATTATTATTATCATTATCATCATTATTATTATTATTATTAATAATAATAATAATAATAGTTATTATCATAACATACATTTCTGAATTATGAGCTATATTAAGTGCTTTTTCTTGTTCAATAAAACATTTATTATTAACAATATTTTAAACAATATGTTTTGATGAGTAGGGGGATGAAAAGGATAAATATATAATCATTACTATTTTTTTATTTGAATGTCTCTAATTGTTTCAATTCTTTCATGTTTATTTGAATTATAATTTATAAGACAATATTTATTTATTAATTAATTACATTTTTGCCGGGCTGATTTTACAGATTTGATTAACTGATTTGTTGTAATTAGCTGTATTTCCAAGTTTCATCAGTGTGTAAACACTGTAGTTTGTCATGCTACTAATTTATTATATTTTTCATTTATTAACAGGCCTTCTTCAACAAACTGACTCACAAATACAGCTGACAGAATGTGATCAATATAGATGCTGGATTTTATAGCTCAAAAGCAATATTGCAAACTCGACTCCCTCTTGTGGCAAACAAAAGTGCTGCAGTTTAAAATGTGACTACATCATGCTATTACTTTTCTTTAAGAAATTGGTTTTACTATTATCTAACCAGTCACCATTACATTAATAAATAAATTAAGTTATCCATTACTAACTTTCTCCAAAGTCAAATTTAAGCACCATTTAAGCACATTCCAAGTGTATTTTCAGACATTTCCAGCACTTTAAAGAGTTCAGATACAAAACCACCCACCAGACCTTTTTTTTTTGTAAATGAGTATTTTCTATCAGGCTTCTATATTTAGGTTCAGAAGTTTCATTTTATAGATGAGAAGGTTATTAGCTAGTAAATAAAATAACTTTTTTTTTTTTTTTAAAAATGTCACTTTAGGCAATTCTTTAGTTTTTAACAAGGTAGATTTTCTTTGGTGTCAAAACCAGCAAAATCCACTTCTGCTTTTTTTGCAAATTGGGACAAGACAGTGTAATTAGTTGAAAAATCACTAAATATGCAATTATAAAATTATTTTACCATACCTAAAACACATTACAAAAAGCACCTAAATTGAAAACACATAAATCTGTCAAGTAAGTGGCGGTTCATTCCGCTATGGTAACCCCTGATAAACCAGTGACAAAGCAGAAGGAAAATGAATGAATGAAATCTGTAAAGTAAGTGCATTATACAATAACATTAAAATTGACAATAATAAAATCTTAATCTGTTGTCATTTCTGATTTTTGGGATTGGGCTTTAAAATGTAAACATTGCAAACGGACTCAATCAAAGTAGCATTGCTCCGCAAAACACTTCCGACTGCACAGTGTGTTTTCTTTATTTTATAATGCAGTCGGACAGACTCACGTTTAGAGGCTTTTGCCAACAAACTGTTATTTCTGAATGCGCTGATGCTGCGATTTGGATGATTTAAAGCAAAAATAATTGTTGAACATAGACTACGTGCCTAGAGCATTTACTCAATGTCATTATCTCATTTTTTGGCGGAAGTTGCGTTTAGCGGCTTTTGCATCTGAACTTCTCATATTTACATACTTTAAATTATATCAAATGCCTCTTGTTTTAGTATAGTATTCTTTTAAAAATATATATTTTAAAGTTGTGTTATCCCCAAGCCGAACATTACATTAATGTCATTTACTCTCTTAACACATCTTCAATGTGTTATCCATCATCCTAAGTTTAATTGATTGTAATTTCATGCATTGTTTACTCAAAGTGAGTTTTTATTTTATGCAAAATCAGAAAGATTGATTTTATTTCATTTAATTAAATCATTCATTATTACCTATTTAGTAAGTAGCACAATTATATTTTCAAGCAGTTTCAAGTTTCACTTTGGCCATAGCCATAATCAGAGACGGATTTAACCAATAAGCAAGATAAGCGGCCGCTTAGGGCTGCAGAAAATCTGAGAGCCCCCAAATAAATACTTAGAAGTATAAAGTATACCTATAACATCATTTTCTATCATATTTTGTATGATGAGTGTCTAAAAAAATAAATGTTTAATGTTTATTACATCTGCGCAGATGCATCCCCCACCCTCAATCATGGAGTAATCCAGCAGTCAAATTAGGTAAAGATTTGATTCATTTTCTTTTCGGCTTAGTCCCTTTATTACTTTAAGGTCACCACAGCGGAATTAACCACCAACTTATCCAGCATATGTTTCACACAGCGGATGCCGTTCCAGCTGCAACCCATCACTGGGAAACACCCATACACACTCATTCACACACGTACACTACAGCAACTTTAGCATACCCAATTCTTAAGATTTAGTTTTAAAAACGAAATAGTTTATATATAATTTCAAGTTGTGAATTCATTTTAAGAAAACAAATCATTTAAAAAGATTTACAAGATGCTTTACGTTGTTATTATTATTTTACATTAAGACAAAATGCAGAAAAGGAGTAATTGAGTGATAAGAAAAAAACTGCTAAATAAATCAACTGAAAATAAATTAAAGCACAAAAGGTGTATTTTAGAACTGTTGGCCCCCATGGGAGGAATTGCTTGGGGCCCCCAAATCCCTAGATCCACCCCTGCCCATAATCGTAGCACTTTTCATACCTTGAAAACACCAAATTCAAGCATTTTCAATGATTTCTGGCACCCTGTAACTTACCATGATCATCCAATAGAATATTTTCCGGTTTCAAATCCCTGTTAAAAGATGAACAAATAGTCACAGTTTGCCACCTGCCACATGATTAACAAGTTATTTTTGTGTTAATACTACTAATTCCCTAACAATCTTCTCACCTGTATACTATCCTCTCCCGATGGAGGTCTTCTAACCCGCAGCAGATCTCAGCAGCATAAAACACGGCTCTCTTCTCATCAAACCCTGCCTCCCCCATGTGGTAGATATGGAACTTCAGGTCTCCTCCGTTCATGAGCGTCAGCACCAAACACAGGGCGTCTTTCGTCTCGTACGCGTATGCTAAACTCACCTGCATTAGAACACAGGAAGGTACATCGCTTGAGTTAGAAAAACAAAAGTTCCCATGTTTTATACAGCCCATGTGGGAAAGGGGTCAAAAAAATGGAGGTAATTTCTGAGAATAAATGCCAAACAAAACAACTCAAAATAGAGTGCTTGAGGTCAGACCTTTGGAAACACAAACTTAAATGGTATGGTTTTAAAAGGGCACTGGACATCATATTTTTTATTTGATTAATTGATTTTTTTTTTTTTTGGTTCATGTTGTTTAATTAGATGTTTACATTAAGATTTTGTATGTAAAATCTAAAATGAAAAATTATCATTTGGTGATCACTTTCAAAACCATACTATTTAAGTTTCCACATTCCAAACTCATTTAACTTTTGTCTCTCAATTGAAAGTCTGTTCACCTAAAATTGGTGAAAGATGTAGCACATTTTAAATTTACTCGCTTCATTTGCGCTTCAAACGTGCATCATATTCTGCTCCTGTTGCTGTCATGTTTTTTGAGTGGCTGCAGCATAGCAAGGTGCTAAGCCGACGTTTTCAGAGATGAAATTAACAGAACCCACAAAAAAAAAAAAAAAACATGTCTTAATGCAGGGGTCTCAAACTCAAATTGGCAGAGGGGCATTTCAGAGACTGACAAATGATAGGAGGGCCATCTAATGGCCTGTTTCCACTGAGTGGTGCGGTACGGTTTGAAAGAGTGCTGAAAAAGTGTTATGGTACAGTTCGATACGCCTTTTGACAGTGGAAACGGCCATAAAAGCTTACCAAACCGAACCGTACCATACCACTTTTTCAGCACCCTTTCGAAAGGGTACCAAGCATGAGAAAGGGTACCAAAAGGTGGAGCTAGACGCCCAGCTGAACGCTATTGGTTAACAGAGATACGTCATTCGCTTGCGCAACAAGCAGAATGAAATAAAAAAAAAAAAAACATGTTTAAAATACACACACAGCCGAGAGATTACAGCAGAATTATATTTACATATAATAACCAGCCATGGTCGATCCGGGCTAAAACAAACCTTGTCGTCATCTTGATGAACAGCCACAAAGCCATGGAGTAGAGCAGAATCTATATCTGAAATAACAAACTTCTTGAGCTGATGATAATAACGTGCGCTTGATAATTGAGGTGCTTTTGAAACCCGATCCTGTCAGAAACTGACAAACGCGAAAGTAAAGCGCGAAAAAAAGGAGAAGCAGGAAAAAAGGAGCACATTATTTCTTCAGCAAACGTGAACAAACTGCCTTGTTTTAATTTTTATCACCTCCTTTTGGACTAATATGAACTGAGAATGATGGAATTACTCCCTAACAGAGGCTACACATGCTGCTGAAGATTACAGACACAGATGAGAGGTTTTCACTGACTGCGGGCTATATTTTGTGTTGTTTTGAACCTAAATAAGGACAAAATGTCTACTGTGTAGTTTTTCTTTAGTCAGTAACATATCGCATACTGTAAGGGTCTGTATGTTTTCATATTTGTTCATTTATTTATTTATTTTATATAATTACAGACGTTACAGTAGGCTGTTTCGCTCTGTCATTGATCTGCAGTTATAATTAAATCCTGTTCATAGAAAAGTTAGTAATAAACATTTATACACAAGTGTATAAAGCATCTGTTTTGTGAGTAGTGCTTTTCATATGTTATGTGAGCGACCCATACAGCTTTGTTGTAAACATTTCCTTGAGCGAGAATGATGCGACTGAAACTTTCTGTCTTAGGGTGCTTTCACACCTGTGAATCGATTCAGTTGTTCCGAAACAGAGATTACAATTGTTACATTGTTGCTCTTTGCTCTTGGAGCGGTTCGCTTTCACACTGCAAGGTTTCTAATTGGACCAAAAGAGCTAAAACAAGTCATGAGCGAGTAAACTCTCCTTACATTGGTCAGAGTGTCAGGGTTTATTTTGCAGAGTCCCGCTAAGCTGTCAGGAGAGGTGGTGGTTTGGTGATGATTGACAAGGTGCACGCGCGCGACGTGTCTGAGGAGAGATGCGGTGGGGAGGGGTGAGAAGGGTGCGCGACGATGCCTATTTGAGGACCGGGAGGGAGACGCGAGATTACCGGGAGATCATCACTCGTTTGCGGGCATCCGGAGACTCTCGAAACTTCCCGCCATACTCATAATTCTCTCTTCATATAGCCGTAAGCCTATTACATATCCATAAAACACTGTGATATAACCGCGCTCGGATCAGATCGCTTTCTCACTGCAATCGAACCGCTCCAGGGTTCGTTTCAATCGAGCCGAGACCACCTCATTCAAGCGATCTCGGAGCGATTACTTTGGCGCGGAACAGAGCACGATTGCCCTGTTCACATATGCCAAACGAACCGTGCTAACTGGGCAAACGAGATATGCTCCGAAACAAAAGTGTAGGTGTGAAAGCACCCTTACACCACCCCCACCAAAAGTGTACCATTGGTTGTGGACACGTAAGCCTGATAAAGGTGACCCGTACCGACCCGAACCGAACCGTACTGTACCAGTCAATGGAAACGAGCCATTAACATCTGGAAGTGATGCTTATGCTCCATTCACATGGGGCGTCAGCGTCAACGCTTCTCATTCACTTTGAATGGGTGGCATCAGGTGTTGCTGAACTGCATTGTGAATCCGTTAGCGCCGATTCAATGACATTGCTCATAGCAGAAGTTGGGAAATTCTCAACTTTTTAAGTGCAAATGGAAGCATCAGACAGTAGCTGATTGCAGACTAATTTCATTCACTGACGCAGCTATGACGATCGCGTCAGCCCCAACTTCAGACAAGCTCTTGGAAAAGCATTGACGCTGAAGCCCTTTGTTTATGCACGGTTATGATCACCTCAAGTTAAGACCGGGCTGAAGACCGAAAACACAGTATCTGAAGATCTTCAGAAACGTGCAGAAAACTTTGGCCAAGGTGAAGATTTTCTGTGTACAGTGTTCTCGTGGGGATGGCCAGAGTTTTTGCATCATGACATCAGCATGAGCGCCGTTTTCTTTTTTCTGATTGGCCAATGTGGCTGGGTTCACACATAACTCTGAAAGATCACACCGTGGGACGGTATCCGCCATTGTTCTCATGTTAGCCTTGACTTGTATGCAGTATACTCGCACAAATACTTAATTCCACATTTGCCATGAACCTAGCATAAAATGCTTTCATCTCCCTCTGTTGGTTCGGTATGCTCTTAACACTGGAACTACCCACTAGAATTACCATAGCGGTCCTTCTTACCGTTTTCATATAAGACGTCATATTTTCACATCATATTTACATTTAAATATTCTATTGAGGTTTTACAATTAAGCTTTGAATGTCTGTCATAATATTTAATTTAAGTCATCACCCTAAAAATACAATCTTTTTTATTAATATATAGTTAGGCTACATAAGACCACCCAAGAATGTCTGCATCTCACTTTCATTTTCACTGCACTGAATATGCTGTTTTGAAAGCCTTATCTGAAGTAATGTTTTTGCTAACAGAATGTTATTGTCTTGACAGCAGGAAGTTGCTAGGCAACAGAGGCACAATACAATAGATGGGGATTTGTGTTGTGTGGGGCTTCTATCTTCTAGGTGACTCTAGCTTTGTAGCTAAATGGCTAACATATATTTTATTGAGATAGTAGTTGTGCTTTATGTGCTTTATGAATGTTGAAAAACAACGTGGATTTGTTCGGTGTCGTCTCTAAATCCACTGGATCCTTTTAGAGGTGCACCCAGCTCTGCATTCATCAACTCATACAGAAATTATACTTGGATGATAGAAGGTTCCAGCTGTGCTTCCGACTGAGCCGAGCCCAGTTTAATGAACTGTTGTCCAGTGTTAGCAAGAGGATTTCCCCTTGGAACACCAACAACAGGTGCTACGTCATACGTCATTCCTTCAAGTGCAAGCTCCTGATTGGTTAACGCAGCGCGAATGTCCGCTGAAGTTCCGATTTTTTTCAGAAGTTAATTCCTGCAAATCGTTTAACTTGGGCTGTCTCATTTGTGCAAATCATGCTGCAGGATGTTTATTCACGTCTTTGCATTGATTTAACATGTAAATCACTTGCGCGCATATATAAAGTCACGGGGAAAAGTTGCAGACAACTAAGGGCCTACTCACACTATGCCATCCGTACCCTGCCCAGGCCCGTTTCCCGGATCGTTTGAGAAGTGTGAGTGTGCTGAATCGGGCTCAAGCACGGTTCACTTGGCCGGCCCTGGCTCGGTTGGAAGAGGTGTGCCTGAGCGCGGTACACTTGGGCTTTGGCGCGGTACGCTTGTGTGTGAGTGCAAAACGCGCCAAAGCCCGAAACTGAAAGCGATACGTGACTTTTAAGGGGTTGTTTCATATGGATTTATTAATCATTCTTACTGTTCAGTGATCGCAAACTGCCGTAGTTTATTAAAGACGAGAACTCCTCACTGCACGACAGCTGCGCGCCTTCAGCAGACCTCCTCACTCCTGCAGCACGAGAGCTTAATGATTGTTTATGAGCGCCAAAAGTGGCGGATCTGTTCGGTGAAATATCTGACTGCGTGTCACCGCATCCCTAAGGACTGTTTGGCGAAATATTTGACTGCATGTCACTGCGTAACAAACGACTGAAACGATATAACTAGAGAAATCTCCACTGTGCTACTGCGGTGAGAGTGTATGGCAAGCCGTTTTAGCATTTAAACCTTGTTCTGACTATCCATAAATATATTTAAAGATATCTCTAATTATATTTTGACTAGTCATAATTATAATTCGACTAGTCAGATTGGAGATATCTGCAAATATATTATGACTGACTAGTCATATTCCTCCATTGACTTCCATTGAAAAATATTTGCAGATATCTCTAAATGAGTTTTGATTAGTCCCAATTGTAATTAGAGATATCTCCAAATGAATTTTGACTAGTCAAAAATCCAATTCAAGATATCTACAACTGTAATTCGACTATTAGTATATTAATTAGAGATCTCTTTAAATATATTTGTAAATATCTCTAAATATGACGAATTAAAGATATCTCCAAATGTATTATGACTAGTAAAAACTCAGTTAGAGATATCTCTAATTACAATTGTGACTAATTAAAACTCATTTAGAGATATCTGCAAATATTTTTCAATGGAAGTCAATGGAGGAATATGACTAGTCACAATATATTTGCAGATATCTCCAATCTGATTTCGTACTAGTACAATTGTAATTGCAGATATCTCTATTGTCATTCTGAGTAGTGGAATTATAATTATGACTAGTCAAAATATAATTAGAGATATCTCTAAATATATTTATAGAGTCAGAACAAAGATTTAAATGCTAAAAAGGCTTGCCATAGAGAGCGCTTCTCACTGAAAAGAGCAGCAGCGATGACGTAAGCGTGCCGAGGCCCGATATGGTGTGAGCGCGGGCCGTCGGGGGAGACGGGAGGGGGGACAAGCGTGCTTTGGCCCGGTTCGAGGCAACTGTACCTAGTGTGAGTACGGCCTAAGAAACATGAGGTCATTCAGACCGATATGGTAGTCCGAGGTAGAAATAATTGTAACTCTTTAGTGTTTTGTAATTGTTTGTTTTGTAATAAAATAACAGAATGGCACAAACATGAATGTTAGAATGACAAACATATGTTTAGTAAAAGTCAGGAATTATAGATATGTTTTATTTCAACTAATTTACTAAATTGCAAAAATTAAAACACGTTTAAAATGATCACCATCGTAGTTCTAGTGTTAACATGCACCACAGTGCATTTTTGCGTTTTTATGTGGACATGACCGCAAACATGATTTCACAGGAAATGAAAACTCAGACCTCTATGAGCTAATCAGTCCAAAAACAGAAGTCAGAATAACAGCAACTTCATATTTTTGGGAGGAAAAAATGTATATGGTACAACAAAAGATAAAGACGCCCAGATTAGTTAAAACACGCCACTTACAACAAACCGACTGTTGACTTTCTCCAGAATCTGCTTTTCATTTAGAGCCATAGATTCTCCTTTTCTCTTTTTGATGCGTTTCTTTTCTAGCTTTTTGCAGGCGTACATCTTCCCTGTGGCCCGCACCTGACATGCACAGACCTTCAGTGGGAGGGAAAAAAAGAGGCTCATTCATTCTGACTTTGTTAAAGCATCTCAAATACTTTATGTGCTTTCAAGAATTTTGAACATTTAAAGGGATGGGTTTAAAAGAAAAAAAACCCCACAATGAACCAGTTTGTACTAACAAGAAAACAAAGAGATATTTCATGCTGTTTCAGAGGATAGAAAGACTGATATTGCATTAAAGTGACTTTGGAGCAGTTTGATTTTTTATGGATTCTTTTTCATTTGTTAAGATGAATTATCTTGCTCTAAGAGGTTGAATCGTACAATATGAATCATAGTTTACACGACAAAGGAATTAATACAATTTAATAAATGTAAAGGGAAAAAAAGTGTGTTGTTTTTTTGACAATTTAACAAATTTGTCCTTTAAGAAAAATCTAAAAGTTATTAGTGATGTTCTCATTTTTTCCTCATTTATAATTCTAAATAGCGTAATGGAAAATATCTTTCAGCCTATGATTTAATTTAAAAAATCAAGTCCGTATTACGGGCGACGCAGTGGCGCAGTAGGTAGTGCTGTCGCCTCACAGCAAGAAGGTCGCTGGTTCGAGCCTCGGCTGGGTCAGTTGGCTTTTCTGTGTAAAGTTCGCATGTTCTCCCTGCTTTCACGTGGGTTTCCTCCGGGTGCTCCGGTTTCCTCCACAGTCCAAAAACATGCAGTACAGGTGAATTAGGTAGGCTAAATTGTCCATAGTAAATGAGTGTATAGGGATGTTTCCCAGAGAAGGATTGCAGCTGGAACGGCATCCGCTGCGTTAAACATTTGCTGGATAAGTCAGCGGTTCATTCCACTGTAGCGATCCCGGATTAATAAAGGGACTAGGCCGAAAAGAAAATGAATGAAGTCTATATTACACATACTATAATGATGACAATAAAGTATAAAACTATAGTAGCATGAAAAGAATAGATTGTTTACTTTTAGAACAGTGATATCCCTCAAGAAGTTTGTATTAAATTAATAATACTACAATAAATGTGTAAAAGCATCCAGTAACTTATGTAATATTTAAACAAAATCTAGCCAATTCATAAATTATTAGAAAAAATGCTTAATTAAATAATAAAATTTGTTGTTATTTAAAATGCAAAGAATAGCTTTATTTCAATTGTACAAAAGTAATAATAATTCTCAATAATTCTTATTTGTTGTCAAAACATTTTTAAAATTACTTGCTGAATGCATATACAGTTGAAGTTAGAATTATTAGCCCCCCTTAATTATTCACCCCTCTGTTTATTTTTTCCCCAAACTTTTGTTTAACGGAGAGAAGATTTTTTCAACACATTTTTAAACATAATAGTTTTAATACCTCATTTCTAATAACTGATTTATTTTATCTTTGCCATGATGACAGTAAATAAGATTTGACTAGGTCTTTTTGCAGACACTTCTATACAGCTTAAAGTGACATTTAAAGGCTTAACTAGGTTAATTCTTTAGACTATTGAAAAAAATATAAAGCTTAAAGGGACTAATAATTTTGACCCTAAAATGTTTTTTAAAAACTTTAAAACTGCTTTTATTTCAAACAAAATAAAACAAATAAGACTTTATCCAGAAGAAAAAATATTATCAGACAAATCTGACCTTGATCTGTTAAACATCATTAGGGAATTATTTAAAAAAAAGAAACAAACATTTAAAAGGGGGCTAGTAATTCTGACTTCAACTGTATAAATATCCTAAAACTATAATACTAAACAGCAAATGCATTATAATTTCAAAGAATAGCTTTATATCACAATCGTTTTTTATTGTATTTCTAATTATTTTCGAGGCCAAATCTAAATATTGTAATCCAATCGTAATAGCAATACAATCAACATTTTTTTTTTTAAATATAAAAGACAATATACACAACTACCCTTACCGGCCACTTTATAAGGTACACCTGTCCAACTGCTTGTTAACGCATTTCTAATCACATGGCAGCAACTCAATGCATCTAGGCATGTAGACATGGTCAAGATGATCTGCTGCAGTTCAGAATGGGGAAGAAAGGTAATTTAAGTCACTTTGAACGTGACATGGTTGTTGGTGCCAAACAGGCTGGTCTGAGTATTTCAGAAACTGCTGATCTACTGGGATTGGTCTTGTTGATGCCAGAGGTCAGAGGAGAATGTCCAGACTGGTTCCAGCTGATAGAAAGGCAACAGTAACTCAAATAACTACTCGTTACAATCGAGGTCTGCAGAAGAGCATCTCTAAACGCACAATATGTCCAACCTTAAGGCGGATGGGCTACAGCAGCAGAAGACCACACCAGGTGCCACTCCTGTCAGCTAAGAACAGGAAACTGAGGCTACTATTCACACAGGCTCAACAAAACTGGACAATAGAGGATTGGAAAAACGTTGCCTGGTCTGATGAGTTTCGATTCTGCTGCGATATTTGGATGGCAAGGTCAGAATTTGGCATCACCAACATGAAAGCATCCATTCTGCCTTGTATCAACAGTTCAGGCTGGTGGTGGTGTATGGTGTGGGGGATATTTTCCTGGCACACTTTGGTCCCATTAGTACCAACTGAGCCTTGTGTCAACGCTACAGCCTACCTGAGTATTGTTGATGACCATGTCCATCCCTTTATGAAAAAAGTCATAAAGCAGCAGCATCCAGCAGAATGACACTCCATTACATAAAGCATACATAATCTCAGACTGGTTTCTTGAACATGACAATGAGTCCACTGTACTCAAATGGCCCCCACAGTCACCAAATCTCAATCCAATAGAGCACCTTTGGGATGTGGTGGAACGGGTGATTTGCATCATGAATTTGCAGCTAACAAATCTGCAGCAACTGCGTGAAGTTATCATGTCAACATGGATCAAAACCTCAGAAGAATATTTCCAGTACCTTGTTGAATCTATTCCTTGATGGATTAAGGTAGTTCTAAAGGCAAAAGGGAGTCCAACCCGGTACTAGTAAGGCATACCTAATAAAGTGGCCATAAATATACATTTACACACAAAAAGTCAAAATGACTTGAAAGTGCATCCAATAGAATATTCCACATGAAAGCAGAGAGCAATAAAAAAGTGAATGCGGTTAGTTATCTAGTAGGGACATCTGCCACCAACGTTGACTGGCAGTGTGTGTGTGTATGCTAGTCTGACAAATTGACGTCTGATAGCGGAATAAAAATAGCATATTAGCCTTATGAACCTTGAAACGGTGACAGATAGTGTTTGATTTATAACTAATAACTAATATATGCTTCTCAAATAAACATTTCAGACTCACCTCGCCAAAGCCTCCCTTTCCCAAAACCCTATACTGACGGAATGTGTTTTTTGTGATCGGCTGTCTGTTGAAGAGAGAGAGAAAAAAAGAGAGAATAATAAACAAAAGTCTCATTTCATAAGCACGTCCAGTACATGACCTGTTTTTATTTAATTATAGCATACTTTTACACAACAACAACTTCCTTTTGCCTTCACAAGAGACGCACAATGTTAAAACGCATGGCTTTAATTGAATTAAAACCTCTTTGTGTGTGTGTTCAGCACTAGCTCTATTAATGTGCACACAAAAGTCACAAGTATTTGTTCGGGCAGATCATATTCTTCTCTTAAAAACGCTCTGGATGGGAATGGACCAGGCAGGACATTTTTATGACTTAAAAGTAAATAAATAGCGAGTTCAGAGTTCACATCTGGTTTGTATAAGCTCGGCTTCATAAATAAATCATGGCACCCAAAGGAATAATTAGTCTCTGCTCGGCTTTGAAGAAAAACTTCTTAGCTAAATAGAATTTCTCCTTCATCAAGCTTTCATGAAAACCTATGGAAAAAAATCATAGGTTATTATATACAGTGCATCCGGAAAGAATTCATAGGGCTTCACTTTTTCCTCTTTTTTTCTTACAGCCTTATTCCAAAATGGATTAAATTCATGTATTTCCTCAAAATTCTACACACAATAACCCATAATGACAATGTTAAAAAATAAAAAATTTTAATTGTCGCAAATTTATTAAAAATAAAAAACCTGAAAAGTAAGTATTCACAGTCTTGGCGCAATACTTTGTTGATGTCAATTACAGCCTCAAGTCTTTTTCAATATGATGCCACAAGCTTGGCACATCTGTCTTTGGAAATTATTGCCCATTCCTCTTTGAAGTACCTCTCAAGCTCTATCAGATTGGATGGGAAACGACGGTGCACCATTTTCAGATCTATCCATGTTCAATAGGATTTGGGTCTGGGCTCTTGTTGGGCCACTCAAGTACATTCACCGAGTTGTTGTGAAGCTACTCCTTTGATATTCGGGCGGTGTGCTTTGGGTCATTGTCCTTCTGAAAGATGAACCATCGCCCCAGTCTGAGGTCAAGAGCACTCTGAAGCAGGTTTTCGTTCAGGATGTCTCTGTACATTGCTGCATTCATCTTTCCCTCTATCCTGACTAGTCTTCCAGTTCCTGCTGCTGAAAAACATTCCCACAGCATGATGCTGCCACTACCATGCTTCACTGTAGGGATGGTATTAGCCTGGTAATGAGCGTTGCCTGGTTTTCTCCAAACGTAATGCCTAGCATTCACTCCAAAGAGTTTAATTTCAGTCTCATCAGACCAGAGAATTTTGTTTCTTATGGTCTGAGAATCCTTCAGATGCCTTTTGGCAAGTTCCAGGCGGGGAGTGACTTCCGTCTGACCACTCTACCATACAGACCTGATTGGTGGATTGCTGCACAGATGGTTGTCCTTCTGTAAGGTTCTCCTCTCTCCACAGAAGAACGCTGGAGATCAGACAGGGTGACCATTGGGTTATTGATCACCTCCCAGACTAAGGCCCTTCTCCCCCGATCACTCAGCTTAGATGGCCGGCCAGCTCTAGGAAGAGTCCGGGTGGTTCCAAACATCTTCCACTTACAGATAATGGAGACCACTGTGCTCATTGGAACTTTCAGAGCAGCAGAAATGTTTCTGTAACTTTCCCCAGGCTTGTGGCTCGAGACAATCCTGTCTCTGAGATCTACAGACAATTCCTTTGTATTCATACTTGGTTTGTGCTTTGGCATGCACTGTCAACCCTGGGACCTTATATAGACAGGTGTATGCCTTTTCAAATCATGTCCAATCAACTGAATTGACCACAGGTGAACTACATTTAAGCTGCTGAAACATCTCAAGAATGATCAGTGGAAACAGAATGTACCTGAGCTCAATTTAAAGCTTCACGGCAAAGACTGAAAATACTGATGTACATGTGATTTTTCAGGTTTTTGTTTTTAATAAATTTGCAACAATTTCAAAAAAAAAAATTTCACCTTGTCATTATGGGGTATTGTGTGTAGAATTTTGAAGAAATAAATGAATTCAATTCACTTTGGACTAAGGTTGTAACACAAAAAAATGTGGAAAAGGTGAAGCGCTGTCAATACTTTGCGGATGCACTGTAAATTATTAAATATTAAAAAAAGTTTTAATTTTTTTCCCCTAATATTTCCCGGATTTAAGTAACTTGCAAATTTGTTGAAAACACAGAACATTCGGTTCTGATATGTAAAAAGATTCCAGTTCATATGTGTCCTCTGTTTGTAAACTCGTAAGCGAATAATTGTGATTGTTCATGAGATCGGCCAGATTGGCGAGTACCGATCAAGTCATGAAATGTGATTATTGGCAGATACCAATCTTTGGCCGATCAATCGGAGCATCCCTAATAATTTTGGCTACTGTCCTTTACCAATGTGTACTCTGACTTCAGACTCAGACTGTTAGAAATGGTTATTCTGACGTTATGTTGCCTGCATTCAGGCTGTGTTGCAGCACAAGAACACACATATTAAAATATCAGCATTAAAATCTATCATTTTTGCATTTTCCTCTCTTAATTTTACTCAAATTAGTTGTATTTATTGTACATTTACATATTTTTGTTATCTGCAGACATCCAAGATCGGAGAGTAAGATGATTTCAATTCTCTGTATGTCTGTAGATGTGACAGAATTATCAATAAAGCTGACTTTGAAGAAGATCCTTGTAGTATATCAGGGCCTTAAGTGTAAAATGCGTGTGCTGTATTTACCTCTCAAGCCATTTCCACTGTAAGAAGCGACTGTAGTACATACTATCGAGGTAGTCTGCGAAGGGGGCCACACTCAGGTAGTCATGGATCAATCTGTAAGTAACATGAAAGAGAATGAACAGACAGCACAGTGAACACTATTACAGGGTACATTCCTAAAGGTTTAAAAAAAAACTGAACACACAATCTACACTGCATAAAGTCCCAAAAGCATTTCATGTTGGTGATGCCAAGGCATTTGACAAAAGTGATTTGACTTGACTCAATTTACCCAGAAGTGCAGCTGTAGTACATCATTTTAAAAAAATTAACAGTGCCAATAGCAGTTCCTTAAAGCTGAAACTAATAGAAAAAAATGAAATGGCAGCCCAGGGTCCTGATCTAAACCTGACTGAAAATGTCTGGAAGATTATTGTAAAAATTGTTAGATTTAATGATTTGCTGTGAGAGGCCAGTCATGTTCTGAGAGAGACTAGTAATTTCCTGAGAGAGAATAGTGATGTCCTGTGAGAGGCAAGTGGTGTCCTGTGACAGACAAGTGGTGTCCTGTTAGAGGCTAGTGATGTCCTGTGAGAGGCTAGTGATGTCCTGTTAGAGGCTAGTGATGCCTGTGAGAGACAAGTGATGTCCTGAGAGAGAATAGTGATGTCCTGTTAGAGGCTAGTGATGTCCTGTTGGAGGCTAGTTATGTCCTGTGAGAGAATAGTGATGTCCTGTTAGAGGCAAGTGATGTCCAGTAAGAGGCTAGTGATGTCCAGTAAGAGGCTAGTGATGCCCTGTTAGAGGCTAGTGATGTCCTGTGAGAGAATAGTGATGTCCTGTTAGAGGTTAGTGATGTCCTGTGAGAGACTAGTGATGTCCTGTTAGAGGCTAGTGATGTCCTGTTAGAGGCTAGTGATGTCCTGTGAGAGAATAGTGATGTCCTGTGAGAGAATAGTGATGTCCTGTTAGAGGCTAGTGATGCCTGTGAGAGACAAGTGATGTCCTGTGAGAGGCTAGTGATGTCCTGTTAGAGGCTAGTGATGTCCTGTTAGAGGCTAGTGATGTCCTGTTAGAGGCTAGTGATGTCCTGTGAGAGAATAGTGATGTCCTGTTAGAGGCTAGTGATGTCCTGTTAGAAGCTAGTGATGTCCTGTGAGAGGCTAGCGATGTCCTGTGAGAGAATAGTGATGTCCTGTTAGAGGCTAGTGATGTCCTGTTAGAGGCTAGTGATGTCCTGTGACAGAATAGTGATGTCCTGTTAGAAGCTAGTGATGCCCTGTTAGAGGCTAGTGATGTCCTGTTAGAGGCTAATGATGTCCTGTTAGAGGCTAGTGATGTCCTGTTAGAGGCTAGTGATGTCCTGTTAGAGGCTAGTGATGTCCTGTTAGAGGCTAGTGATGTCCTGTTAGAGGCTAGTGATGTCCTGTTAGATTCTAGTGATGTCCTGTTAGAGGCTAGTGATGTCTTGTTAGATTCTAGTGATGTCCTGTTAGAGGCTAGTGATGTCCTGCTAGATTCTAGTGATGTCCTGTAAGAGGCTAGTGATTTTAGTGTATTTTAATTGGGTTAACTAGGCAGGTTAGGGTAATTAAGTAAGTTATTGTATAACGATGGTTTGTTCTGGAGACTATAGAAAAAAATATAGCTTAAAGGGGCTGATAATTTTATCCTTAAAATGGTGTTTAAAAAATTAAAAACTGCTTTTAGTCTAGTCAAAATAAAGCAAATAAGACTTTCTCCAGAAGAAAAAATATTATCAGACATTTTGTGAAAATTTCCTTGCTCTGTTAAACATCATTTGGAAAATATTTTAAAAAGAACAAAAAATTCAAAGGGGGGGTGGTAATAACTCTGACCTCAACTGTATATCGTCACCTTAGTATTATTTACATTATGGGATGTTTTTTTTTATAAGTTGTTTACATTTTAAGAATTTTATTTTAAAAAACAAATGTTACACACAAACTTCGAAGCTCAATGTCTCAAAATCATTCAGAACGCAGTTAGAACTTTGTAATTCCTAGGTGACGATGTGTCAAGCTCTGTCAAGTTGGATGGGAAGCGATGGTGTACATCGATTTTCAGATCTCTATAGAGATGTTCAATAGGATTTGGGTCTGGGCTCTGGCTGGACCCTCAAGGCTCTCTGACTAATATCGATCAATAAAAAACAGAGTTAAGCTAAAAGAGCATGCTTATAAACCACTATTCTAGTGGAAAACAAGATTTAAAAGAAGCATTTGATCTTCTAAAAACTTTATTTGTAACATAAGTTACACAATTACACTGATTTTAGTAACTAAACAAATTACACAAATTTAAAATGTAATTCGTTACAGTACTGTGTTCCCAAAAATATATTTACAATACAGTAACGCGTTACTGCGGGACGCGAAACACCCAACTCTAGCTGTGAGAAACTAGTGATATCTTGTAAAAGGGTAGTGATGTTCTGCAAAAGGCAGAGATGTGGTGAGGCTGTAGATCAGGGGTCTCAAACTCGCGGCCCGCGGGCCATTTGCGGCCCTCAATGCAATATTTTGTGGCCCGCGCCGACCGCTGTACACTGACAGAATCAGCGGAGCGGGGAGAGAGAGCGCTCCCCGCTCCGCTGATTCTATCCGTACACAGCGGTCACTGGCATTCCCCGCCCGCCGTGTTGTCGCGCGCGTTCTGATCAGCTGTGTTGTCGCGCGCGTACTCAAGAGCGGTGTTATCGCGCGCCTACTGAAGGGCGGGACCGAGGGTGTGTCGTGTCGCGGGGGCACTTTTGATCATTTTGGAAGGGCACTTTCTATGCAAGACTAAAAAGGGCATGTGCTCTGCACAGGTTGAGCCCTATGTGTGCACGTGCCTGCCCTGCATCTTATATATATTATAGGTAGATACAGACTGGTACAGACTGATGTGACTGGAGTGGGGTGGGGGTGTTTTATTTATACATATATATACGCCTTTTTTAGGTGAGGGAATGGAAGTTTTGAGTGAGTTCCCCCACTTTTTTCCCTAGGACTTCAATAAGTTAAAGTACAAGTCTAGACTTAATGATAATCATCTTCAAGCCATACTGAGGGTCTCAACTGCTTCCGCTCTAAAGCCAAATGTGGTTCAGATTTGTGAGAAGAAGCGCTGTCAAGTCTCTGGCAGCAAGAAGTAGGCAAAAGATGCCATGTTCAGAAGAACTGTTCATAATCTTCACTCAATGTTCTATTAATGTTCAGGACACTTCATGTTCAGAAGAAATAATTAAAACTGTTAATAATGACATTTGAGGACTTTTTTTTGTGAAATCCCTTATGCGGCCCAGCCTCACCCAGACTTTGCCTCCTGCGTCCCCCAGGTAAATTGAGTTTGAGACCCCTGCTGTAGATGTACTTATGTTTCATTGCTGTAACCTCCAGAACCATCACTGTGATTTACATTCAAATAGTTTTCAATAATGTGCACTTTATCCAAAAGTTTGTGTTTCTCAAATCCACAAACTGATGTGTAAATCAATTGCCAAAATATATAAAAAGTTTCCTTATTTTTATTATAAAATGTTTTGGTGTAAAAATCCCATCGTTCTCACATCCTCACTCTCACTCGATTAAACGATTTGCATGCAAATTCTAAGAATTTAATCTGGCTTAGAAATGTTTTGCTCAGAGTTTTTCAGACACTATAATGAAGCAGCATATAGCAGTGGCATCTAATGAGATAATAAGAGTGTTTCCTGTTTAGAAGACTCACTTGGTGCACTCCATGAAGAGCTCTTTACATGCCTCCTGTTGCAAGCGGTCTGCACACTTAGTCACCATCTCCTCTGTTACCTCAGGGATGTAGTCTTCTGACTGCAAACAGAAGAACTGGTATGTGAAACCATGCTTAGATATAAAAATAAACTCATACACAACTCATGGATTCTACAATAAACAATAGAAATGGGAAAGCTTCAATGTGAAAGTTACTGTGATACTATACCATGCTATACATGCAGCATATTTGCCACACATTGTAATATGTTTTAGGTCTTTCCTGTGCTATTCTTCTGTGTACCTTTGTGTTGAGGTACTTGTCTAGAAGTTCCTGTCCACATTCCTTCCTCTTCTCATCAGGCGTTACTTCATACTCCGCCTGAAATGATGGAGAAACAATTTCTGTAATGATTGTGAAAGCTACAGTCTACATTATTCATACACATGTTGATTTTACAGCATCAGCAATCAATAGAAGCTCAGTTTCAATCTTCCTTTTTTTGGGTCCCACTTTACAGGTCCATTAGTTAATGTAGTTACTAGCTTGAAATAAGAATGAAAAATACCTGTACAGCATTTATTATAATCATTTACTAATGCGTTATTAAAATCTATAGTTGTGCTTGATGGACTGTGATTTAACATGAACTAATAATTAGACTAAACATTAGCAAAGATGAATAAATGCAGTAACGTTTATTGTTTCGTCAAGTTAGGAAATACATCAACTAACATTATCTAATAAATCGTTATTGTGAAGTGTGACCACGAAACTCTCAAGTCTCAGCCTCAGATGTCGCACAAATTGAGGTTGGATAGCATATTTTTGAGTAGTCAGCATTTGCAGCAATGATGAAGAAGCACCTTATAGAATGGCATTTTTAAAACTGAGAGCACTTCTCAGGATGTGACTGTGATTGGTTGCTTTGTAATTTGTCAAAGATGCAATGGAGTGCAGGCACTGCTGCCAGTAAAAAGTTCTATCAAAACAAGTTGCAAAATAAAATACAAAAAAGCTAAGCTGAGCAATGGATAAGTAAAAAAAAACAAAAAAAAAAAAAACAAAGCAAAGCAAAGCAAAACAATATAAATAAAAGGCATAACACTGAACACAATAAAACAAAAAGCAAAGCAAAACAAAACAAAAATACGAAAGCATAGCAAAAAACAAAACAAAAGACAAAGCACAAAAACAAAACAAGCAAACAAACAAACAAACAAAAAAAAACTGCACATTTCTTTGCGAATCTGCAAAATGTTATTAAAATGAAGATTTTATCCAAGATCATCATATAAAAAACTACATGAATTGCCTGGAAAACAAAAAATAAATAAAAAAAACAAAGCTAAGCTAAGCAACGCATAATGAAAAATAAAAATGTAAAAAAAAAAAAAAAGCAACCAAAAAAACCCACAAAAAAACAAACAAACAAATCAAACTAAACCAAAAGATACAAAGCAAAAAACAAAGAAGAAACAGTCGAAACAAAGCAAACAGTCGAAACACAAAGCAAAACAAAGCACAAAAACAAAACATGCACATAAAACAAACAAACACCAGGTGCAGGTTTTATTGCAAATTTGCAAAACGCTATGAAAATTAGGATTTGATCTAAAATCATAATGTAAATACAACCTAGATTACCTGGAAAACAAAATACAAAAAAAAAAAAAAAACAAGGAAAAAAAGTAAAGATAAAAAGCATCCAAATAACAAAACAAAATCAAAACAAAAGATGCGACACAAAAAATTTAATAGAACTAAACACAAGTCATAGCAAAAGCAATAATACAAGTGCAAAACAAAACACAAAGCAAAAAAATAGCATGCAAATAAAACAAACAAACAAACAAACACAAAAACTGCACATTTCTTTGCGATCTTGCTAAATGTTATTAAAATGAAGAATTTATCCAAGATGATCATCATAAAAAACTACATTAATTTTCTAGAAAATAGAATACAAAACAAAAAACAAAGCTAAGCTAAGCAACGCATAACAAAAAAGAAACAAAAAATATAATAGAAAAAAAAGCTACCAAAAAACAAGATAAAAATCACAAACAAATCAAACTAAACCAAGTGGTGCTCGCTGCAGAGCCATTTGAGGAGAGGTAAGCTCCAGAGAGGGGGAGCTTAAGCTTGAGCTCCACCTTTTTTGCACTTCTTCTACGAGTGATGTCACTGTGGGTAGGGTTAGGGGTGGGTTTTGGTGTACGCATTAAAACAGCTTACAGGAGGAGGAGCGACAGCTCATGCTCCCCCTCTCTGGAGCTCACCTCTCCTCAAATGGCTCTGCAGCGAGCACCCTCTCAACTAAACCAAAAGTTACAAAGCAAAACAAAGCACAAAAACCAAACATGCACATAAAACAAACAAACATTTCATTGCAAATTAGCACAACTGGGATTACCTGTAAAATAAAATATTAAAATAAAAACAAAGCTAAGCTAAACAATGCATGACAAAAAAAAAAAAAAAAAAAAAAAAGGAAAAAAAAGCATCAAAAAACAAAAGCAAAAAAAAAATAAGCAAAGCAAAGATAAAAAGCAGTGCAAAAACAAAAACAAAATCAAAACAAAAGATACAAAGCAAAAAAACTAAATAAAACTAAACACAAGTCATAGCAAAAAACAATAATACAAATGCAAAACAAAACATAATGTAAAGCAAAAAATACAGAACACAAAGCACAAAAACAAAACATGCAAATAAAACGCACAACAAACAAACAAAAACATTGCACATCTCTTTACGAATTTGCAAAAACCTATTAAAATAAAATTTTATCCAAGATAATTGACAAAACTACTTGTATTAAAGAAAAAAAAACTTTCAGCATTAAAATTGGGATTTTTCACTGTATCAAAAAGATTGTAACATATCCTTGATGACAAGACATTTCTACTCTGCTTTTTATTAAAAAACACTTTCAGTGTTTTAGGATGAAAAAAAGGGATTTCGTCCATCCTGTTTACAGTACACAACTATATATACAGTAGCTACATGCTTCCATCCACACATTTTACATGCCATATCTGTTCAACCGATATTCACAATGTCCTCAAAATAATCTGAATAAACTCCCAGATGTGAAGACATTTGTTATTGTGTGTTGTCTGTACTGAGACTCCTTTTGTTTTGTTTTTTGTTTTTCTTTTCGTTTTTTCACTTGAAAATGAGTTTCCTAGGAAGCGACGATTCCCTTCTCTTGAATACACAATTGTTGTCATTGACTTCCAGAGTATTTTTTGTTCCTACTATGAATGTAAATTGCTCCCTATTTCCAAACTTCTTCAGAATATCTGGCTTTCTCTCTTTCTGTCAAAAAAAAAAAAAAAAGAAGAGTGGCTTATATGAAAGGCAAAGGCCACTAGATTACGCTTACTTTACCAAAATAAAATATTATCATCCCTTGATTTTTAATTATTTAAATAGGACAGTAAGGTCTGCCTTTGCTTAGACAAAAGTGTTGTAACTTCACAAAAATAATGTACAGTATAGAATATAAACTCATGCTGCAGTGGAAAAATAATTAATATCGTGTAGGGCTGCAACTAATGATTATTTTAATAATTGATTAATCTGTCAATTATTTTTTGATTAATCGATGAATCGGATAAAAATAAAAGCATTAATTTCCAACTTTTCATTCAAAAAAGCTCATCCCTGAGCTGTTATAATAATAACAATAATAATAATAAGAAGAAGAAGAATAAGAATAATAATAAAATAGTTTTTCCTGTTTTCAATGCAAATATCAAAATTTTGTTAAATCAAGATGCATACTAGACACATGACATAGCTTTAGAGATTAAGTCTTGTTTTCTGAAAAAAAAAAAAACACCTCAAAATTAAGTGATTGTTTATTTAAAACAAGTTAAATTATTTGCAAATTGGGTAAGAAAAATAAACTTTATGAGATATAATCTCAAACAGAAGTTTTACCAGTTCACATAAACGTGTAAGTGATCGTGATCTATAACAAGACATGGTCATCGCCACTCGCCATGTTTACTTGCGGCCACACGTTTGCCTTATTAATAAAAAGCAGGACACGCAGGATTTAGCACATTAATTTACCATTTACACCCCAAATACATGCAAGTGGCTGGTGAACTTAGAGAAGAGTAGATTCAACTTTATAGTTACTTTTACTATGTGTAATGTGTATCTGATATGAATAAAACATTGGCAAATTATGTTTAAATGGATTGTTAGATTTTCATGTGTATTTTACAAACTCTAAATGCATTGTTTTACTAGTAAGTATGAATATTTATATGTCTAAAACATAAAATAAGCATTAGTTGGTTACAAAGCTGCATAACTGTGATAATATGACACTTCTTTCTCAGCGGGGTTGATTTTGTTTTCAAAAAAAAAAATAAAAACCAAAATAAGAAGCACTTTTCCGACAGTCCCTCACTGAGAGCTCTGCTCAGAGCAAGCTCTCTCTGGCTCAGCGTCAGACACCGTGCCAAAGCTCAGTTTGATTTTTTCAGTTGCCGCTGTAAAGGTAAACGAGCTAACGCTAACTTGTCATGCTTGTCAAGCCGAATAACAAGTAAAACATCAGCACCAGGGACTTTACGGTATACTCACTTCAAAACGGAACAAAAGTAGGACCTTGCTGTTGAACTCCCTGCCTCCTCATCCCTTTCTATGAGGTGCCAAACTCTGTATCAGTGCACGAGAGAGACCGTGTTCACTTTGCTCTGCGCTCAACTAAAGTGTTTTTTAATAATCAAATGTCCACTTGTCGCACGGCACAATGAATCGATTATGAAATTTGTTTCCAACGCTTTAAGTTATCAATTTAATCGATTTGTTGTTGCAGACCTAATATTGTTATGACTCCCATGAGCTTGGAGGACTGCATCCACATCTCTGCAACGACTCAAATAACTTATTAATAAAGTCATCTGGAAAGGCAAAAAAAAAAAAAGTGTTCTTGCAGGACTCCCAGAGTTAATCAAGATTCTTTGGATTCATCACCATCTTAAACCAGACATGCTTAATAACGTCCATATCTGATGACTGGGCTGGTCAATCATGGAGCACCTTTACCTTCTTTACTTTCAGGAACTTTGTTGTGGAGGTTGCTGAAGTATGAGAAGGAACGCTATCCTGCTAAAGAAATTTGCCCTCTCCTGTGATTTGTAATGTAATGAGCAGCATAAATGCCTTGATCCCTCAGGCTGTTGATGTTTCCATAAACTCTGCAGATCTCTCGCACACCCCCATACTGAATATAACCCCAAAACATGATTTTTCCTTCACCAAACTTGACTGATTTCTGTAAGAATCTTGGGTTCATGCTGGTTCCATTAGGTCTTCAGCAGTATTTCTGATGATTGCGATGCAGTTCAATAAATGATTCATCAGAAAAATCTACCTTCTGCCACTTTTCCTAACTAGAAGTTAAGTTATTATATGTTGCTTTTACAATCGACGACAAGACTTTTGTCTGGGTAGTGTTGGCTTAGTCCATCCACATTTTAAACACACACATTTGCGTCAGAAAATCTGGTTTTATATCCACGTTTATTTTGAAAACACCACCATAATACAGTTTCACAACAGAATCAAGGCATCAAGCTCTGTAGAGGGTGAAGCAAACAGCAGAAGGTTTTGTTCACTTGGGATGTGTAAGGCGATATGCACGTTGGTGATGTTTGTGTTGTAGCTTGCAGGGACAGAGTAAGTAGTCTGCATTCCGTATCTGAAACAGCATGTCACGTCAAAATATTTACAAAAAGACGGGCAGGGCAGAACTGCTGATCTCAAATCAGGAGCGGCTGCTACCCTCAGATTGAAAGTCTTTTTTTATCTCTAAGGCCAGTCTGTCAAAGCTGTACACTAACGGATCCTAAATCTTCTAAACCACGCAAACAGAAACCTGCTTTCTTGGGCGTGAACAAGAAAATCAGTCATTTTTTTCTGAGCTAAACTTGCTGGTGGGCATACACTCATGGTAGATGCAGTGATGCAGATGTGACCCCCGCATTCCTGTACTGAGCTGGGTCAGCCGGCTACTGAAAGCAGCGGAGGAAATGAAACAAGAAGAAGCCGGCAATTCATTCTACAATCACTTTCATTCAAAAACAGCTTGAGTTGTAGTTAGGGCTGAATGATTAAGGGGTTAGTTCACTCAAAAATGAACATTCTGCAATCATTTATTCATCCTCCACTTGTTCAGAACTTGTTTGAGTTTCTTTTTTGTATTGAAGAAAATGGAAGATATAGGGCTGTATCATGCACCCGGCGCAATAAGGCGCAAGATCTGTTTGCCCCGACGTGTTGCTATTTTCAGACCTTAGTTTTCTCATTTTCCACCACGTTGTTCAAATGGCAAATCTATTTGCACCACTTTGTGGACTCATAAGAGTTTCGTTCTAGAAATGAGGTGTGTTTATTTGTGAATATTGTTGCTATTTTGAGGAACTAAAACAGACTGCGCAATAGACCGGCTGAGAGCAGCAAAGGCTGTGCAGGACCATACGCTTGCACTCAACGTGGAAATCAGTCTTAGCAGAGCGGGGTCACATGACTCCACTCGCAGAACGGAAAATTACAATTCTTTAAACGACCTGGACAAATTAGATTGATTATAGGTTTTGAATGTCAATCTTCATTACTTTTCGATTAATCGGCCATCCCTAGTTTAAGTTTTTTCTAGCCAGCTCTATTTTTCTGTGCTCACTGCTAATCTATATTTGAAATAATGAACTTTAGCTCATGATAATAATGTGAAATGTGATTAATGAAGCGCGGATTCTCACATCCTTTCAGAAACGGACAAACGCCAGAGCGAAATAACAAAGGAGAAGTCTGAAAAAACAAAGGAGAAAATGATTCTTTCAGCAAACTAAAACATAAACAAAATACCTTTAATTATTATCATCGCCTTTTGGACTATTATGAATTCGGAATGACGGAATTAGTTTTTTACAAGATGTCAGCGTTACACATTCTGGTATTGTAACGTATTTGTTTCATATCGTTTATGAATCCAAATTTATTTATTTTTTTAATTGGTAACATTTCAGAGACTGTAAGGCTCCATATGTGTTTATATATAGTAACGTAGTAAGTAATGTTTATATATATAGCGCATTTATTGTGTATGGCCATACACCCAAAGCGCTTCACAATCATGGGGAGGGGGGTCTCTCCACACCACAACTAGTGTGCAGCATCCATTTGGATGGTGCGACAGCAGCCACAGGACAACGCCGCCAGTGTGCTCAGCACACACCAGCTATAGGTAGAGTGGAGAGACAGTGATAGAGCCAATTCGATGGATGGGGATGATTGGGAGGCCATGATCGGTAAGGGCCAATGGAGGAAATCTGGCCAGGACACCAGGGTTACACCCCTCTCTCTTTGTAATAAGTGCCATGGGATTTTTAATGACCACAGAGAGTCAGGACCTCGGTTTATCGGCTCATCTGAAAGACAGTGCCCATTGACAGCAGTGTCCCCTTCACTTTTACTTGAGCATTAGGACTTACACAGACTTCAGGTTGAGTGCCCCCTGCTGGCCTCACTAACACTTCCAACAGCAACTTAGTTTTCCCATGTGGACTCCCATCCAGGTACTGACCAGGCTCAGCCCTGCTTAGCTTAAGTGAGTAACCGGTCTTGGGCTGCAGAGTGATATGGCTGTGGCCATATATATGTAAACATGTAGATGTATGTTTTTATATAAATATTGCAGACGTTACAGTAGGCTATTTCGCATTATCATTGATCTGCGCCTATAATCAAATCCTGTTTTGAAATGTTAGTAATTATAAATAAATATTTATGTATATAAAACATTTGTTTAGTAAGAAGTGCTTCTCACACGATATGTAAACTTTAAGCGAGAATGATGTCGACTGAAGATGTCATACACCACACGCCTTCTAAAATGGTACCATTTGGCAGTGGAGACACAGGCCTGATAAAGGTGGCCCATACAGAACCGTACCGTTCTGTGCCACACAGTGGAAACGAGGCATAATATACTCCATTTAAGCAGTGAATGAAAACTAGATGATCGGCTCATGTATGAATGCTCACAGAGTGATCATGATGACTAAGAGGGGGGGGGTCACACACTGGACGAGAAGCCCACCTCATCTCACCATGGCTTTTCTATGAGTATGTGCAAAACAGTGGCACCATAAAACTTAATTCTAACTTTATTCAGTAGGAAACTGAAAATATTGTCTGTGACATTGTACATGGCGCTCTGAAAGTTTCAGTTATTCCCTGCGCTTTGGGAAATTGCTCCAAAACTAGCTTCAGCTATATAGTTTCATGGCATGCAAGCCGGGTTGTTTTTGTGTATGTAAAAAAGAAGAAACAAACACACTCTTTAAAGTGAGGAATAATTAGTGGTCTGCTTTCTCACCACAGCATCCAGGAATCTGACACAGCGCCTCAACTCCGGCCTGGTGTCGCAGAACTGCCGGAAGAGCAAGCGTCCAATCGGCTGCCGCTCGCAAAGACTGTTGTAGTCTTTCTCTGTGGAAATAAAAACCACATGAAACACCGTGACTAAGAGCTTTGTAAAGGTGAGAGAGAGGGAGAGTGAGAGAGAAAATGAGTAAATATCATTTGGGACAATCGATGAATACAATAAAAATCAATAGCACTTTCCTCTCCTCTTTTCGCTTTGGAAAGGAAACCGAACAGACGAAAGCATTAGTTGACCACAGCCAAATAGATAATAACAATTGACAACATCCTCAAAATATTAAAGGCCCTCTGTAAAGCAGTTCTGTTTAAGCCAAATTTATAGAAAATACCCAGTGATGGCATGCAGAGTAGTGGCTTCAGTGGCTAATACTGTTATCTAGAACAGCAGGTTTGCCTGTGAACTCGATTTACTCTGACCATCAAGTGGTGACTCAACAGAATGCGAAAAGTGCTTGGCGTAAACAAATATGTTGCCTGAAAAAGCCCCAACAACATGTCGAAATAAATGAAAACTGGGAAATCGTTAAAGAGGTAGAGTAAGTTAGTGGAAAATGTAGATTTTTGGATCTTTTGAAGGGACAGTTCACCAGAAAATGAAAATTCTGTCATCATTTACTCAGCCTTTACTCGTTTCAAACCTTTAAGAGTTTCTTTCTTCTGCAAAACACAAAAGAAGATTGTTTGGAAACCTATAGCTGACTTCCACAGAATTAGTTTTTTACAATGGAAATCAATGGGTACGGGTTTTCTTCTGAATATCTTCTCTTATGTTAAACAATATAAAGAATCGCATAAGGCATTTAACTGCCTTAGGGAGAGACAATAGTGAGAGATTAAGTGGGTAAAATGGGTGAACTATCTCTTTAAAACACAGAATTTGAATGTTTTAAACAAAAAAGTGTTTATGCTTTAATGTAATTAATAATGTTTTACTATTATTATTATTCATTCATTCATCAATTTTCTTGTCGGCTTGGTCCCTTTATTATTCCGGGGTCGCCACAGCAGAATGAACCGCCAACTTATCCAGCTAGTTTTTACACGGCCCTTCCAGCCGCAACCCATCTCTGGGAAACATCCACACACACATTCATACACACACTCATACACTACGGACAATTTAGCCTACCCAATTCACCTGTACCGCATGTCTTTGGACTGTGGGGGAAACCGGAGCACCCGGAGGAAACCCACGCGAAGGCAGGGAGAACATGGAAACTCCACACAGAAACGCCAACTGAGCCGAGGTTCTTGCGGTTCTTGCGGTGAGGCGACAACACTACCTACTGCGCCACTGCCTCGCCCACTATTATTATTATTATTATTTATTATTATTATGGGGCAGCACGGTGGCGCAGTGGGTAGCACAATCGCCTCACAGTAAGAAGATCGCTGGTTCAAGCCTCGGCTGGGTCAGTTGGCATTTCTGTGTGAAGTTTGCATGTTCTCCCTGTGTTAATATAAATTTTTAATTAATATCAATTAATTAATTTATTTTTATTTAATATTAATTAATTTTCCGGGTGCTCCATTTTCCCCTACAAGTCCAAAGACATGCGGTATAGAAGAATTGGGTAAGCTAAAATGTCCGCAATGTATGTTTGTGTATGGATGTTTCCCAGTGATGGGTTGCAGCTGGGTAGGCATCCGCAGCGTAAAACATATGCTGGATAAATTGGCGGTTCATTCCGATGTGGCGACCCCTGATTAATGAAGAGATTGAGCTGAAAAGAAAATGAATGACTATTATTATTATTACTTTTTTAAATACTATGTTTTGGTGCAGTGCTTTAGTAGTTGTTTACCAAACTAAAATGTTGCTATTGATTGTAATAATTCAGTGAGATTCTGAGTAGCCAGCAACTCCACACAGAGATTTGTGTGTATGTTGTATATACACAAACATACCTAAATTCACTCACCGGCCACTTTATTAGGTACACCTGTCCAGTTGCTCGTTAACAAAACATTTCTAATCAGCCAATCACATGGCAGCAACCTAATGCATTTAGGCATGTAGAGATGTTCAAGACGATCTGCTGCAGTTCAAACCTAGCATCAGAATAGGTGAAGAAGGGTTATTTAAGTGACTTTGAAAGGGGCATGGTTGTTGGTGCTAGATGGGCTGGTCTGAGTATTTCAGAAACTGCTGATCTACTGGAATTTTCACGCACAACCATCTCTAGGGTTTACAAGAAATGGTCCAAAAAAGAGAAAAAACCCAGTGAGCGGCAGTTCTGTAGGCGCAAATGCCTTGTTGATGACAGAGGTCAGAGGAGAATGGCCAGACTGGTTCCAGCTGATAGAAAGGCAACAGTATATCAAAGTAACTGTAACTCAGTTACAACTGAGGTGTGCAGAAGAGCATCTCTGAACGGACAACACACCAAACCTTGCGGCGAATGGGCTACAGCAGCAGAAGTCCACATTGGGTGCCACTCCTGTCAGCTAAGAACAAGAAACTGAGGCTACAGCCTCACCAAAACTGGACAATAGAAGATTGGAAAAACGTTGCCTTATCTGATAAATCTTGATTTTAGCTGCCAAACTTGAATGAAGGAACGGGTGATTCGCATCATAGATGTGCAGTTGACAAATCTGCAGCAACTGCGTGATGCTATCATGTCAATATGGACCAAAATCACTGAGGAATATTTCCAGTACTTTGTTGAATATATGCCAAGAAGGGTTAAGGCAGTTCTGAAGGCAAAAGGGGGTCCGACCCGGTTCTAGTAAGGTGTCCCTAATAAAGTGGCCGGTGAGTGTACATACAAACATTGTGTAATTTATGCAGTTTTAAACATTTTAAATATATATGTACTGTGTTTAGCACAGTATTTTACTTGAGAATAAGATGTAGATTAGTTTATAATTTGTATTACTTATGCAAATTTAATAATGTCAATTGCGGCGATTGCTATATCCTTTAAATAAAATATTTCGGAAAATTTATAAAAGATTCATAATTTAAATTTATTTGTTTTTTATTTTATTTAGTTTAAATTTATTTTAGTATCATTGAAAACCAGGCAGTGATGTAGAATTCTGAAGCAAGCACACCTTAAAGTGACAGTTCACCCAAAACAGTTTACTCCTCCTTTATTTTGATTCAGATCTACATTAATTTCTTTATTCTGCTGAAAAGGAGATTCTTTTGAAAAAGCTGTAAACCTGTAACAACTGACTTCAATCAATATATATCAAAGTCAATCAATATATATCAAAATATCTAACAGAAGAAAGAAACTCATGAAGGTTTGGAACCCCCTAAGGAGAGTAAACGATCCCTTTAACACACTATAACACATCCATTGAAAGGGACTCCAAACCACAAGGCTCTAACCATAACAAAATAGCTGTTACGGTCAGACTCTTGTGGTTGAAGTCCACCTTGTGGCCCGAAACCACATCTTTGTCACATAACCTGATGAAATGGTTGAAATAAATGTGCTTGTAAAGGCCGAGCACGCTAAAATGAACAGAGTGGGAAGGCAGTGGCCGGTGGCTGAGATTTGCATTTGCTGCTCAGGTATATGCAAAGAGGCAGCAGGATTTACACAGAGGCAAATGGGAGTGTGTGTAAACTTGCAGCGATATAGAGGCAGTGTGTAGGAGGCTGGTATTGATAGCGATGCTGCATAAATACATGGAGAGCTTACAGTTACTTCATAACACTGCTGGCACAAAGAGCAAAGCTGCGCTGCAGAGTGCAGATAACAATCAGCTTTACTGCTGTTCATACATGCTCCTTTTAAGTACAGCCGATCAGATCCATTTGGAAAAATATTTGTCTTCAGCTTTACGGCGACAAGATGAAGTGGCCACCAGTATATATTGTCAACTTGATACCGATGTGAGGCTCAACAGTAAAAAATAATATTAATTTAAAATTTATATATTTTAAAACCTGGGGGATATTTTCTTGGCACACACTGGGCCCATTAGTTCCACCTGAGCCTTGTGTCAACACCACAGCCTACTTGAGTATTGTTGCTGACCATGTCCATCCCTTTATAACCACAGTAATGATGGCTACTTCCAGCAGGATAACACACCATGTCATAAAGCACAAATCATCTCAGATTGGTTTCTTGAACATGACAATGAGTCCATTGTACTCAAATGGCCTCCACAGTCACCAGATCTCAATCCAATAGAGCACCAATGGGATGTAGTGGAACGGGTGATTCGCATCATGGATGTGCAGCCAACAAATCTGCAGCAACTTTGTGATGCTGTCATGTCAATATGGACCAAAATCACTGAGGAATATTTCCAGTACCTTGTTGAATCTACGCCACATAGGATTAAGGCAGTTCTGAAGGCAAAAGGGGATCCAACCCGGTACTGGTAAGGGGTACCTAATAAAGTGGCCAGTGAGTGTGAATGCGTCTATAAACATCATCAACCAAGACCATTAATATAAACCATGACAAGTCGCATATGCGCCTGAAATTTAAGCTATGAGACCTCATAATATATAATGGGAGCATTCGTTCGACTGCATATAATGGTTGTAGTGCGACCTGTTTTTTTTTTTTTTTTTAAACGTGGTTAAATCGATCTTCCCTGCCGCTATATTGGTTTATATTAGCTGTCAATCACGCAAGACTTTGCAAACGGCTGAAGAGTGAAAAGAACACTGAATCTCGATGCATCCACTGCGTGTTCAGCCATCACAATCTCACGGCAATTCGTAACTTTTTCATACGCTTCCTCGTGAGATCAGGCTGCAACAGCGCAAATGTCCTCTAAAACACCATCGCCAAAGAAGCTTGCCTTTACTGAGTTTAAACTGATGCGGGTTATAACAAAGAACAGTATTGCGCCGGTGGTCATCGGGAGAATCCTGCTCTGCCCCCCCTCATATTGTGCCGGCTGACTCGCATGCTTTTCCGCAAACACAGAAAAATGTAATTCAGCGCGTAACGAGGCTGAGCATTAAAACGACACGAACCGAAACCAAAACTTTTAAAAGTGAGACTTTTCTTCCTTTCTTTTGTCCGTTCTTTCTTGAGGTGTATATTATGTTTCTATTTAATTAC